CTTCTGCTCCATGAGCTGGGAGGCCTTTCCATTGGATTAGACCTTCCTGAATTAGAATATGTTTTATCGGCTGAGCGGAGGGTGCACACCTGTAATCCCAGCAGGTCGAGGAGGAGGATCACAAGTTCAAGGACAGCCCTGGCAACTTAGCAAGGCCCTAAGTAACTTACTGAGACTCTGTCTCAAAATAAAAAAACAAAAACAGTTGGTGTAAAGTACAGTGGTAAAGTACCCCTGGATTCAAAACCCCAGTACCCCCAAAAAATGTTTTATTAGTTTCAGGGTGTGATTTGATAATATGTATACTACTTTTTGCTTAAATTTATTCCTAAACATTTGGTGTATTTGTTTTGCAGTGCTGGGGACTGAACCCAGAGGTGCTCTACAGCTGAGCTACCACCCTGGCCTTTTCAATATTTATTTTGAGACAGGGTCTCACTAGGTTGCTGAGGCTGGCCTGGAACTTGCATAACAAAATGTCATCTCTTGTCACTTGCTAGATAGTCACTGGAAGCTCTTACGGAAGCAAGTAGGCAAAAAACCTGGAGCAACTGGGCAGAATGAATTACTTAGTTGCTGGGAACACAGTCATGCATTGCTGTGCCTGGCAATTCCTAATTAATTTACTTTTTAAAAAACATGGTGTCATTTTTAAAAATACCTTTATTTTGCTTATTTATATTTATATGGTGCTGGGGATCTAACCCAGTGCTTCACAAGTGCTAGGCAAGTGCTCTACCCCTGAGCCACAACCCCAGCCCTAATTTATTCTTTTTGATGCTATTTTAAATGGAACTATTTCTTAATTTAATTTTCAGATTATTCATTGCAAGTGTTAGAAATACAACTGATTTTTGTATATGGATCTTGTATTCCAAAACCTTGCTGCACTTGTTGTTCAGTGCTCCGAGGGTTCCATTGGACATCATGCCCCCTGCAGGTGGACACAGGTGTCCTTCGTCCTCTCCTCCAGGTTCTCCAGGTTTTTATTGCCAACTTGCTTCCGTAAGAGCTTCCAGTGACTATCTAGCAAGAGTGACGAGAGAGACGACATCTTGTCCTGCCCCTGGTGTAGAGAGAATGCATTCATTGTTTCAACTATCAAGAGTGACGCTGTCACAGAAGCAGAAAGGACTGCTGCCAGGGTCAGGAGGGCAGGGAGCTGGGGAGTCACTGTTAAGGGGTGTAGAGTTTCAGTTATGCAAGATGAATAAGTCCTAGAGGTCTGCTCTACAACGTGCCAACAGTCAACGATTCTGTACTGGGCATTTAAAAACTCCATCAGAGGATAGTTCTCATATGATGTTCTTACTACAATTTGAAAACAAGGGACAACCACTATGTTAACTGTGGGTTTTCATACAAATGCTTGATCAGGTTTAGGGAACTCCTTTCATTCCTAATTAGTTGAGTGTCTTTATCAGGAAGTGCTGCATTTTCTCAAATGCTTTCCAGTGCCTACTGAGATGATCATGTGACTTTTGTCCTTTATTTCACTCTTGTGGTATATAATGGTACTGATTTGGGGATATATAATTAACCTGCATTCCCAGAGGCCCAGAACCCCACCTGGATGAGGCATGGAACCTTTTGTATGTTGTCATGTCATGAGCCAGCCATGGGCTGTGTGTGTGAGCTATACACATTTGCGCTCATGAGGGGACTGGCCTGACATTGCTGCCTGACTGGGCTGTGTGACATATGTGTGCCTTTCCTCTCGCTCTGCCTGTGATCCCATGCAGCACCTGAGATGGGTGTGTCTTTCCAAGATGTCAATCTGCTTACCTCAAGACATCAGCAAGCAAGACTCCACCTTTCAAAACCCAATCCCTTGCCTTATTCGATTGGAATATTCTTGAATGTCTTTTCCCCAATAGAAGGTTCCAGGTATGCTCCCTCTCTTGCTCCTTCCAGCGCTGGAGCTGACTGCTGGGTCACCAAGCTGTCCTGCCTTCGTGTGCTGTGAGGTTTCTTTGCCTTTTTCTTAGTTATTGATACAGCCAGCTCCTTTGAACCCAGCTCATATCACCAGTCTGGCCAGTTGGTGATATTGCCAGAGTGGCTTTGATTTCATTGGGAATTCTTGTATCTCTATCTACAGGGGACATTGTTCTGCATTTTTCTTATGTAACACTGACCTCACAGGGTATATTGAGAATTGTTTCCTCTTCTTTAACACTTCTAAATTTTGAAAGTTAGAACTTTTAAGAATTAACAATTTAAAGAATTAACGCCAACCCTTGTCAAACTCTTCCTAAGAAATGGACTCATTCTATGAGACTAAGATCCTCAAACCCCTATAACAAAGCCAGGCAAAGATACTAGAGTAAAAGGAAACTACAGACCTTGTCCCTTGTGAATACAGATGCAAATATCTTCAACAAAATCAGAGCAACTATATGGAGCAGAATACCGAAAGGCTCAGACTCACAACCAAGTAGAAGTCATCCCAGTATCTCAGGAGTGTGTCAATAATGAACTGGGATAGCTCAGTTGGTAGAGTGCTTGCCTCACATGCACAAGGCCTTGGATTTGATCCCCAGCTCCACAATGAACACAAATCAATGTGATATAGCACATAAACGGAACAAAGGGGAAATCCTGGGTCCATTTAATTGATGCATAAAAAGTTGCCAAATTCAATATACTTTTATCATCATGACTCTCAGAAAACTAGTAATAGACAAGATTTTTTTTCAACATGATAAAGGACATTTATGAAGAATCCACACCTAACATCATACACAATGGTGAAAAATTGGAAATGTTTCCCGTAAGAGAAGGAATAAGGCAAGGGTGCCCACTTAAACCACTGCTATCTAAAATTGTACTGGAAGTCTAGCCAGAGTAACTGTATAGACAGAAAGAAAAGCATCCAAGTTGGAAAGAAGTAAAACCATCCACAGATGACGTGATCATACATCTACAACACCCAAGGAATCTACAAGAATCTATAAGAAAACTCATCACTCAAGGCTAAGGGTGCTCGATTCCTATGTGGCAGCTCCTGACAGATTGAGAGTTCAAAGCCAGCCTCAATAACTTAGGGAGGACCTAAGCAACTTAGTGAGACCCTGTCTCCAAATATAGTGTAAAAAGGGGCTGGGGGATATGTCTCAGTGGTTAAGCAACTCCTGAGTTCAATCCTCAGTATCAAAAAAAAAAAAAAAAAAAAAAAAAAAAAGAAAAGAAAAGAGAGTAACTTAGGTAAAGAAGTTAGAGCTGCATATATGTCAGAAGCATTCACCTCAAGGTTTTCCTGTCATAAGAGAACAAAGGGAGGAGGGGACAGCTAAATGTATATTTCTTTCTTTCTTTCTTTTTTTTTTTTTGAGGGGCTACCGGGGATTGAACTCATGGGCGCTCAACCACCACTGAGACACATCCCCAGCCCTACTTTGTATTTTATTTAGAGGAAGGGTTTCACTGAGTTGCTTAGCACCTCATTTTTGCTGGCTTTGACCTCTAGATCCTCCTGTCTCAGCCTCCCAAGCTACTGGGATTACAAAGTTTTCCCACCACAAGAGAACAAAGGGGGAGGTGGGTACAATTAAAGGTATATTTCTTTAAATCACTCAACAGGAGACAGTAAAATCTAGGCGACTTCAAGAAGTACACCCCACAGTACTCAGCCAATGAGGAACCAGGGGAGGGACCTTGTGCTCTGGGGATAAAACACTGATTGTAACTGCTCTGGATCTGCGGACCCCCAGGCTCCAGATCTTGCAAGACTGTTATTAAAGTCTCACTTTTTTTTTTTCCCTTTCTGTACCTGATGTTTCCTTGCCCATTCTTTGGGATTGGGCAGGTCAGCCTGTTTCTCAAAAGACCCAGGCATTCGTTACAAAGTATACTTCTAAGTTACATTTCAGTTTATGTTCTAATTTAGTTTGCAATTTACTGCCTAGGGATTCAAGGTAGGGAGGCAACCTCCTGCTAAATGTAAATGTAACAGTGCTAAGAAAACTTTTGTTTGCAAGAAGAGAATTACTCACAATAGCCAAAAGGTGGAAACAACCAAAATGTCTAGATATATCCACATAATGGAATATTTTTTTGGCCACAGAAAAGTGAAGTCCTGATACATGGTGCAATTTGGGTGAACCTTGGAAACATTATGCCAAGTGAATGAAGCCAGATGCAAGCCATATGGTTCCATTAATAGGAAATAGAGAACAGAAAAGCCCATAGAGAGAGAAAGCAGATCAGCGGTTGTTAGAGCAGGCGGTTGGGGAGTGGGGAACTAGACAGAGGTGTGACTGCACACTAGTGTGACTGTACTAATAGTCATGGAATTGTTCAATTACCATGGTTAATTAGGCTCAGTGGCACATGTTTATGATCTCAGCGACTCCGGAGGCTGAGGCAGGAAAATAGCAAGTTGGAGGTCAGTCTGGGCAATTTAGTGAGGCTCCGTCTCAAGAAATAAAAAGGGCTGGGAGTGTAGCTCAGTGGCGAGCACCCCTGGGTTCAATTCCCAGTACCAAATAAATATACAAAGTGGTTCATTATGTTATGTGTATTTCGCCTCCATAAAAAGATAAAATGTAAACATTTATACTTATGTGAAACACTGACATTTAGGATTTGCTTCAAAATAACGTGGGCGGGTGAGAATACAAAGAGTTACCAGGGTTTGCAGAGGCAAATGAGTCCGAAGTGGACAAAAGCACAACCGGGAGCCACAGCAATCCAGCCAAGAGGACAGCGCTGGTGCCTGCGCGCGTTGGTGGAAACCAGGGGCTGCCGGGCAGGGAGCCCCGACGCCACTCCTCCCTCCTGGGGGTCAGAGGCCGCTCCTGCGCACGGGCTCTCCCACATCGCCACCGGAGCCCACCTGGCCGCACCTGCTGGGAGCCTGGGGTCGGGCCAAGAGCTCAGCGGCGCACTCAAGGCCACACCCCGGGGCGGGGCCCGCAGACTCCTCGGCGTCCGCCCTGCCGCGGCGGGTGTCGCACGACTGGTCACCGCTTCCCGCGGAGTGCGGGCGCCGAGTGGGGGCCGCGCCATGGCTGCCGCCCAGCCCAAGGCCCCTGTGGGGGCGGCCGCGGCCCGGCGCCTGGCCCGGGGCTGCTGGTCCGCGTTCTGGGACTACGAGACACCCAAGGTGATCGTGGTGAGGAACCGGCGCCTGGGGGTCGTGTACCGCACGGTGCAGCTGCTCATCCTGCTCTACTTCGTGTGGTGCGCGGGCCGGGCCGGGCCGGGAAGGGGCGTGGGTCGGGTCGGGAGCTCTGGGTCAGGGGCGGGCTGCAGCAGGCTCCAGCCCCGCCCAGGCCGCCTAGGACCAGTGCTGCCCTGCCCGCAGGTACGTGTTCATCGTGCAGAAGAGCTACCAGGACAGCGAGACCGGACCCGAGAGCTCCATCATTACCAAGGTCAAGGGCATCACCACCTCGGAGCACAAAGTGTGGGACGTGGAGGAGTATGTGAAGCCCCCCGAGGTGCGCCCTGCGCCCCTAGCCCCCGCGCCCCCACAGTACAGGCACAGCGAGCTGCCTAGACCACTGACTCCTCTTTTTGCGCACAGGGGGGCAGCATATTCAGCATCATCACCAGGATCGAGGTCACACCCTTCCAGACCCTGGGAATCTGTCCGGAGGTGAGGCCACTGGTTGTTTTGGGGATTGCATTAATTAATGTATTAATTACATTAATTTACATTCTCTGGTTGTCCTGGGGAACTCTAAACCACCTGCAGGGTTTTGGTCTCTGACTCTGCGGTCTCCATCCTAGAGCATAAGGGTCCACAATGCCATCTGCCATTCGGACAACGACTGTGTGGCTGGGGAGCTGGACATGCTGGGCAACGGTCAGTGTGCACCTAGGAGGGCAGTGGGGAAGCAGGGCAGAGCTGCCTCCCGTAGGCAGCTTAGCCAGCTTTTGCTCCACAGGACTGCGAACTGGCAGATGTGTACCCTATTACCACGGGGCCTCCAAGACCTGCGAGGTGTCCGGTTGGTGCCCAGTGGAGGATGGGGCCTCTGTCAGGTGTGCAGTGCCCAGCTCCTTTCTCCTCTCTGACCTGAGTCCAGATGGGTGGAGGAGGGCAGGAGTAGTGGAGTAGGAGGGTGGAAGGGGGATTCTGGGACGGGTGACTAAATCTGTTTGTGCCTCCTCAGCCAATTTCTGGGTACAATGGCTCCCAATTTTACCATCCTCATCAAGAACAGCATCCACTACCCCAAATTCCAGTTCTCCAAGTAAGAGCCAGCAGGGCATATGATTGACGGGACCACTGTGAAGGGGCTGCTGCCTGGGGGCACAGGCCTCTCTGCCTTCTGCTGTTTCTCAGGGGCAACATCGCAGGCCGCAAGGATGACTACCTCAAACACTGCACTTTCGACTACGTCTCTGACCCTTACTGTCCCATCTTCAAGCTGGGCTTCATTGTGGAGCAGGCAGGGGAGAACTTCACGGAGCTTGCACACAGGGTGAGGGTGGTGGGACGGCAAGGCTGGGCAGCGTCTGCCACTCAGGAGGACATCCCTCCTGTCTGGACCAGCCCTGGCTGCATTCGGGCAGGAGAGGCTCGACCTGCTGACCCACCTGTGCATGTGTCTGCTCAGTTATTGACACCAGTCCACATGGCCTCTAAGGCTAGGTGTTCACCTGCACCCTGAATGTTGGCCTGGAGCTGCTGGGCCACAAGGGTCCCCTGCCACCCCCCATCCCCCCCACAGGGTGGTGTCATTGGGGCCATCATTAACTGGGACTGTGACCTGGACCTGTCTGCGTCAGAATGTAACCCCAAGTACTCCTTCCGGAGGCTGGACCCCAAGCAAGTTCCTGCCTCCTCAGGCTACAACTTCAGGTACCTGTGCTTGGGACACCTGGGCCCAGGAGATGGACAGTGCCTTTGCCCTGGCCCTCCAGCAATGGCCCCAGAGAGGAAGGGTGTGCAGGCAGCCTGGACAGCGTCTGGCTCATTCCACCCTAGGTTTGCCAAGTATTACAAGATAAATGGCACTACCACCCGCACACTCATCAAAGCCTACGGAATCCGCATCGATGTCATTGTGCACGGACAGGTACACACCCTCCCTGGGGCTGGCCAGTCCTGGTTGCCTGAGCTGACTTGGTCCCCAGCCCTCTCATGAGCCCCACTCCTGCTCCAAGCAACTGTGTTTGGTCTAAAAGAAAGATGCTCCACAGGCAGGGAAGTTCAGCCTGATTCCCACCATCATTAACCTGGCTACTGCTCTAACCTCCATCGGGGTGGTAAGGAGCCCACCTGGGGGCTGGGTGGGTGGTGGGTGGTCTGCAGGCCCTTATTCTCTGGTCTCTGCTAATCTCAGGGATCCTTCCTGTGTGACTGGATCTTGCTGACATTCATGAACAAAAACAAGGTCTACAGTCACAAGAAATTCGACAAGGTGTGTATGCCACGCTGGTCCACCAGTAGCTGGCCTGTGACCCTTGCCCTTGCTTTGGGCCAGGCCCCTCCTCCACCCAGGCACTGCTCCCAGGCCCAGCCACCCAACCCTCTGTCAGGCCAGGAGGGCCAGCAAGCCTAGGCCCGGCTGTCTGGCCCCCACGGCCTTGCCCTGTCTCTGCCCTGTCTGAGCAGATGGTGGATGCCCCGGATCAGCATGCTGGACTGCCCACCTCTAGGCTGGCTCAGCAGGACTCCACACCTGCAGACCCCAGAGGCCTGGCCCAACTTTAGTTCCTATCCTCACTGCTGCAGCTTGGGACCCTGCCAGAGCCCAGCTGCTTTGGCAGCACCGAGGACCCACCTGCCTCAGTAGCCAAGAGCCCATGAAAGGACCCCATGTAAAGGGGGCCTCACTCTTGTCCTAAGCCTGTCTCCCCACCCTCTCAGGGCCTGCCAACCCCCCCACCAGTGGACACCCACAGGGCTTGTCACCTTCCTTCCTATTCACCATTCTCTCTCATAGCCTGCTGGGACCTCAAGTCAGAGCTGAGATCCAAGGGGGCTCTGTCCCTGCTCTTGAAGCACACACCTACAACATCATAACCCCAAACTGCCCAGCCCTGTCCTTAGAAGCTGCAGCATGCTGAGTCCAATAAACCTGTGCTTGGTGCCTTCTAGCCTTGTTCTCTGGGGGAAAGCCACCAGCCCAGGAGTACTTGGTCAAGGGGCTCTGCTGGCTCACTGCCCACGGCCTGGGTTATCTCCCCTGCAACCAGTCTAGGTACAGAGGGCACGGGCAGAGCCACTGCTGGGGAACAGCAATGTGGTGATGGACTGAGCCCAGGAGCTGGCACTAGGGATGTTGGGGCTGGAGGATAATCTGGTTACCGCATCCTCAAGGGTGCTGTGTCAGTGTGGTGGTGCTTGCTGGACTGAGACCAGAATGTGACTCTGCGGTGAATGTCTAGGGAGTGGCAAGGCGCTGTGCAGAATGCCCATGGCAGATGGTACCCCACCCCATAGACCAGTATACCAGATCTCAGGGTGGCATGTCCTTCCAAGGCCAAAGAGCTGGGAAGACCTTTGTCAGTGCCTGAGTCTGGATGGGACTTGGTCCCAGCTCCTGAGTCCTTACACCTGGTGGTCTTTGTAAGTAGTGGAAGGAACACTGGCTCCCAGCACTCATGCAGCTCCAGCCTCCATGGGTCACCAAACACCTGTGACATCCTCGTATTGGGCTCACAAGATGTCTGCCCTAGTTTTAGAGAAACTGGCCTTTCCACTGGGTCCCTGGCTGCAGCTCAGGAACCAGGGCCAGAGGCTCAGGTTTCTTGTTTCAGTTGTGCCCAGCTAGCCTGTCTTGCTGTACCCAACTGTCCCTCCCCCATCTTCCTCAGCTTCACTTCCAGGAAGCCTAGTTAGCTGCCCCGCCTCCTCTCCCTCGCCCTAATTTGATTTGATCCCCACTCAGGAGGTCTCAGCACAACTCGGCTCAGTCCACATTCCAAGCAAGCAGGACCAGGCGGGCATCGGATTTCTCCCCAAAGGCAGCCTGAGCTCTCAGGGTTCAAACGGCCTGGGGAGAGAAGCTCAGCCCTCCACCCTTCCAGAGACCTCCACCCTTTTGTACAAAAGTGTGGAAAAGGCACAGCTGAGTGATAGCAGGAGGAACTTCAGGGAGGGTCTGGAGTGAACTGCCACTTGGCCCCAGGGCACCCAGCCCTCTGCCAGGCCTGAGTCCTTGGGGGTTGCAGATTTATGTTTTATTTAACACTTGTCTACTGCCTTGATAAAGTGGCCTGGGCCTGTGCAAGAAAAGGCCACACTTGGCTTAGAGGGAGATGTGCAGCAAGTCCAGGGGGTGGGTACCTGGCAGAGTGGGAGGGCAAGTCCTGTTGTACAGGTGGACCAGCCTCAGCGCACGCAGGGAGCCTCTGCACCTGTACCTGGGGTACAGTCCTCAGAATGTGCCAGGTCACAGGCCAGGCCACTCCTGGGAGTGGGCGGGTCCCTGAAGCTGCCCTGGGACTGCTTTTTTCCTCTTCTTCTCTCATCCTCCCTTCACAGACAAAGAGCCTAAATCTTGCATGTGAGAAAGTACTTTTCCGACATCCAGGCTGAAACAGAATGTTAAGGAGGTCCCTAAAAAAACCCACATACCTAGAGCCCTTCCTTGTAGGTTCTCAGGCCCTGCTCACCAACCTACAGGTCTACCAGGACCCTCCCCTCCTGACTCTGGCAGACAAAGAGAAGCAAAATCCTGGCCCCCACAGGCATTTGCTCTCCACTGAACAAGTAACTGTCCACCTCATCGGCAGGTGCAGAAAGCAACAGAGGCTTCAAAGTGTGTTTATTGGCAGAAACGACTCCTCAGGACCCCTCAGGACCCAAGAAGCTTCTTGCCTGATGACCTGCCTCAGAAGAGGGCCTGCAGCAATGTGGAGGACAGGGTCATTCCCTGCTCCAGCTTGTTCATGCCACCTCTGCACTCCCTGGCATGTTCTCGGTGGTCTACCCCATTCCCTGGACGGTCTGCTTTTCCAAGAGACTGAAGTCAGGTGGTCAGTGGGACATCACGGGGAGCAGAGGATGCCTGTAAGGATGCGGTGTCTAGGGCTGGCGCTTGCTAGTGGTCTGGCTGAGGGCTTTTCTGCAGCAGCCACTCCAGGGTCTCCTTGAGGTGTGGCATGCTGTAGTGCTGGGCAATGCTCCGGAAGATGCCAACCTGCTCCATGAAGACCTGTAAGACAAGACACAGTGACACCTGGTCCTACCAGGGAAAGGAGGCGAGGATTGAGCAGGCGACTGTGCCCACCTGAGTGCGGATTGTGAGGGCGAAGTCCCCGGCACAGCTGCAGTACACTGGCATGTGGGTCTCCTTCACGCCGCGGCACTTCAGGCAGACCTGAAAAGAGGCAGCAGCCTGTCCCCATGCCAGACCCACCAGCAGCCCCTGTCCTTGCTGTTGAGAGGATATAAGCTTCACCTCCCTGCTGCTTGCAACTCAGGTCTGTTATAAATGACATCAAAATCTCGCCGGGTCCTTCCCACATCACAGGCCCTGTTGCAGGCACCTGGCTGTAGACACCAAGTGCTGGGGCTTCCTCTGTCCACGCCAGCTGTCAACCAGGCCTGTTTCTGGGAGGACCCAGTGCTGGCTGCAGGTGCTGTAGAAGCCCCTGCTCCTGGTGCTCTCTCTGAGCAGCCTTTGCTGCACCCACACCCCCTCCTGGAAGGGCAGGGCCAACAGATGTCAATAGAATGTTGTCACTTGGACTCAGGGGCAGGGACTGACTGCTGGGGTGGTCCCCCGAGGTTACAAGGGTGACCGATGCACAGGTCAGCTTCCCTAAGTGCCAAGTTTGTGTCCAGAACCTCCTGTGCTGACCACAGGGAGCTCACCAGGTCCTGCAGGGTGAAGGCCATCAGCTTTCTCTGCAGGGCTTCGACCAGGGCCATCTCAATGGCAGCTGAGTCATAGGTGGCCTGACAGTTGGGGCAGAGCCACTGAGGCAGGACAGCTCCATCCTAGGACAGCAGGGTAAGGGGTGAGCGCCTGAGTGGTGGCCACAGCCCCCTGGGCCACAGCATGTCCTGCACCCTCCACCACAAAGCTGGGGCGGGGGGTGGTGGCACTCATCACCTGTGGGGCCCCCACCCTCGTGACAACCTCTGGCACAATAGCTCAAGAGGAGCCTGCAGGCAGCAGGGTGGACAGAAGGATGGCAGGACCATGGCCTCAGCTTCGTCTGCCCCACACCCAAACCAGCCCACCTGGGAGAAGGAGGAATCTTTGCACAGATCCAAGTCCCGGCAGAAGTTGCAGCTGTGGCAGATCACCTCAGGGAGCACATAGGAGCGGCAGGGGTCTCGGAACTGGGCCTCCTCGGAGAACTCACCAACATCTACCAGGCGAAGCAGGTCTCGGTTCAGCTTGTTCACCTGATTGGTGATGTTTGTATCCAAAGATAGCACCTGTGGAGGACACACCCGTCAGGAAGCAGCTCCTAGGGAGTCTTGCTGCTGGAGACACGGGAGCCCTCTTTTTTTTGTGAGGCAAGAGGTATACCAGGGATTACACTCAGGAGCACTCAGCCACTGAGCCACACCCCAGCCCTGTTTTGTATTTTAGTTAGAGACAGGGTCTCACTGAGTTGCTTAGGGCCTCATTTTTGCTGAAGCTGGCTTTGAACTTGCGATCCTCCTGCATTAGTCTTCTGAGTTGCTGGGATCACAGGCGTGGGCCACCATGCCCGGCGACACTGGAGCCCTCATCAGCATGGCTTCACGGTGTCAATCCATTCCTCCCTATGGTGGCAGTCCTCCACAGGAAGTGTAGGCTTCCCTGTGACCCACCAGATGTCTAAAGAAGCAATGCTGGATCCACACACCACCTTCCAGCAGGCAAAGGGGGCTGCAACTTGTCCTGGAAGGCCACCTCGCTTTGATATCCAAGCCAGAGACACAAAACTGGAGACCCTCTGTGGACTAGGAACCCAGGCTTACAACAGGTATGTTGCAGGATGGTGAGCTCGGACGGGTGCAGTGGGGCACACCTCGATTCCAGCCCTTCCTGGGGCTCAGGCAAGAGTGCAGGCTGCAGGCCAGCCTGGCCACGGAGTAGGCTGCAGGGCAGTGGTAGTGCACTTGCCTGGCATGGGAGGCCTGGGCTTCCTCCCCAGAGCCACAAAAAAGAAAGAAACTGAACAACACACACCTCAGCTCGGACCACAGTAGAATCCTGAACTGTAAGACTTGAAGAAGAAAACAGCAGGAAACCTTTGTGTCTTTAAAGCAAAAATTCCTCACTCACGACACAAGAGGCACAACTCACATCTGAGAAGGGATTTGTGTCCAGAACATACAAAGAACTCTCAAGAACAGGAAAAACCAGGGGCAAGAGCTGAGGCTGAGGGGCAGAGCCCTTGGCAGCATTTAAGGATTCAATCCCTAGCACTGAAAAAAAACAAAACAAAAAGGTGTCAGCCACTCAAAAAAACAATACAAAACCCAAGAGATCTGGATACTTCACCAAAGACATGGACAGCCAACGGGCCCATAAAAATGTGCTCCCCATCAGCAGTTGCTAGGGAAGTACAAATCAAAACCACAGCGAATCCCACTGCATGTCCACCTGAACAGCTGGGATTCAAAAACCACCACCACCAGGCTTTGGAGAGGGTGGAAGAGTGGAACTCCAGCCACGCATCGAGGAACATGCGCTACTTGAGTAAATAGCCTGGTACTTTCTTTCCATGCCAAACATACTTTCACACGGCCCAGCAATTCTTCTCCTGGGTTGTTACCCAGGATAAATGAGATTTACGTTCACACAAAAGCCATAAGGTATTTCATGGCTGCTTAGTTGTTAATTACCACAAAGGGACAGCAACCCAATGTCCTTGCCTCAGAGCTACGAGCAGCCAAGGGAAGGCCACTCTGACATACCAGGGGGTCCCACGTCACTGCAGAGTCAAGGAAGCCAGACCCCCAGGCTATAGGATATAGGGCTCCACCTAGGCGGCATCTGAGAGGGACAGTCAGGGATCCAGGGTGGGGTGGCTGGTGCCAAGGGGGAGTATTTTGGGGGTGACAGTTCTGTACCACAATGGTGGGTGTCACCACCCTACCCACCAGGAGCATGTCCACACCTGCACCCCACAAGAGTGCACCCACTGTGATGTTAAAACACCATCTCCGACTGGCTGTCAGGGCTGGGGAGGGCAGGGAAGGGGTGGAGCACTCCACCTCTGGATCCTGGCAGCGGGTGCATGGCCACAAGCCTCGTTACCCCGCCAATGTACACAACTCGGTTGACATAAAACACCTACCTGAAGGTGAGCTGTGGATGGAACCCGAGCTGGAAACCTTCCCTCCCCACGGCCAGACCACGAGCAGTCTGTGCATCTGCAGCGCCAGGTGAGGTACTTTGCTGGGACACTGTGTGGTGCCAGCTGGCAGCCTAAGCCCTCCCGGGACCCCCTGCCTTCCCCGATAGGCAGGCTCCCATGCCACCTCACAGGTCTCTGAGCTTAGCTTCTCCTGGTTGAGCCAACTGGTGGCTGGTGGCCCAGAAGCTCCCTGTCCCAGTGCCTGCTTCCCACCTCGCCTGTGACTTCCACCCACTCACCCACCCCTGGCTCCTCAGGGCCTCTGTCCTCACGGGCAGCACCTGTGCACTGGCCTGCTCCATGGGCTCAGGCCACACGAGGGCAGGGCCCCAGCGTCCTGGCTGCCTGAGCCCAGAGGCCTCTGCAGCCCCTCACCTTGCACACATATTTGATGAACTCCAGAGCAGGGTTGTTGAGCACCAAGTGGGAGCCAGGGAGGACAGGGAACATCTCTGAGGGCTCTGTGGAGCTCCGAGAGCCTGTGACTTTCTTCTGAATCTTCTGAGTGATGGTGAAGAAGCTCTGAGTGAGCTCGTTTGCAACATAATCCTGAGAGAAGGTGATCATTCCTGGGAAGAGAAGAGGGCTCACCCTGGCACTGGGCACCTCCCATGTCTACCCAGACCATCTGAGGCACACAGCACTGGATCGGTGTGGCAAGGGACTCACCAGGGAGGGCTCCGGCCGCCCCTTCAGCCTCCTGAGAGAACTGGCTGGCCCCCCTCCTCTTCACAGGGGTGGTGCCTGGGCCACTGCGTCTCAGCTGTTCCTTCATGCTGTGGTACACAGCCACAATGTACGCTGCAGAGAGGCAGGCACACTGTGGCTCAGAGGGGGGCTGTCCCAGACTGGGGGCCTGTGTCCGGTCAGGCTGACCACCACGTGGCCACACTGCTGGTGATGCCTTTATCTGCTACCCTCAGAAGAGCTGAGAGTTAATTAGAGAAATGGACTGATGGAGAGCAGTGCGTAGCCAGGCTGACGCCCAGCCCTCCTGCTAGAGGGGCTCCCACAAGTGGAGGCTGACCTGTGTTGGCACAGTCCTCTGGAACTCCCAGGCCCATGCTCTGGGACATTTCAAGAGACAACTTGGAGAACAGACTCAAAGAGCAGCAAACAAAACATAAACATGGGGCCAAAACCATCGCTGCCACCACAGGTGTGAGGGCTACCTGCTGACCATTTAACCTGCCGTGCTCGTCACTAAGTGCTGTTTGGACAAGTGCCCTGAACTACAGGGTGTCCTTGGGGGTTCACATGCCAAGCTGCTCATCAGCCTCACCCTCAGCCCAGCCAAGGTACAGGGCTTCCTGCAACAGGAGGGAGGCCTGAAGGCTAGTGATGGGCTGCTGACTTGGATGTGCTGGGGTTCTTTTGACCATTGTGTGTGCATGCACAAGTGTTCTGAGGAAATGCGTGCAGCCGCGTTATATGAAACAGATCTCGGTAGCAGGATAACCCTCCATGACACATGGTTGGGGGTGGGTCTTGGCAGGCAATGGCCTGGAGGAAGACAGCCCCTCCTGCCCCTGGAGTGGCTCCACGTAGACCTGGCTTTCCACCCTTGGCCCATGCTCTGGCTCACCCGAAACGATCATGAGGAAGTAGCTCTGGCAGGAGGCTGCCTGTGGCAGAAACTGCAAAATGTTCCAGTTGTTCTCCAGGAGGTCCTCTACCTCAGACTCGTCCACACTTTCCTCCTGCTCCTCCTCGTCTTCTTGCTCGTCCTCTGCTTCCTCTCCTTTCTGGGGCTCTTGCTGGAACAGAGACAACCCCTGTGTGCCTACTGCAGCAGCAGCAGCAGGCAGTGATGAGATTCAGTGGTACCAAGGCGTGGGAGAGAGGCCTCTTCCAGCCTGGGCGTCCGGATCCCTGTGCCCAAGTCAGGTCCTGCAGGGCTCCAGAACTAGTGTAGCAGGCCTGGTGCAAGGTGACTGCAGTTCTCTCAGAGGATTTGCTGCAAAATTATTAAATTCCCACCTCCCAAGAGGGAAGAATTAACCAGGGCTTCCTAATGTGCAGCTGCCTTCTCTTGAGTCCAAGGATCTTCCTTAGCCAGGTGGGTGGCATAAGCCTCAGGCCAGAGGACCACCTGCCTGAGCCCAGGGGCTAAAGACCAGTCTGTGCAACACAGCGAGACCCTATTTAATAAAAATGAACCTTTTCTTGGAACGGCACCTGATTACATGCAGGACCGGCTACAAAGTTCCCCAAGTGTGGTCCTGCCTTCCCACCACAGTGCATCAGCTTCTGTGTACGGACACCAACATATATCCACTCCTGTGCTCTGCTATCCTCCCACTCTCTGAACCCCAGCAGGCTTTGCCCCAACCCTGCTGAAGTCTTCAGGAAGCCTGGTGTGCAGAGCAGCCTTGCCCATCTCCTCCTTCCCGAGGCCCCCAGCTCCTGGCATGTGCTCCCTGCTGGTGGCTCCCTCTTGGTCCTCTAAGAGGAACCCCAGGGAGGACACAGGCCTCTGTTTTCTCAACCCACCTCCAGCTGTCCCCTGGGCACTCCAGTACCAGCTGAACGTGTCTCAGCCTCACACATGCCACCTGTCCCACCTAACAAGACCCCTTCCCCACATTGCTTCTGGCAGCCAGTTCTGCACACCTGGGCACCAACACACACACACCCTGCTGCCTCTTGGCCCCGCCCAGATCCCACCCAAGTCCTTCCCACCTTCTAGGCCAACCCAGTGCTCCCCTGCACTGACCCTAACCGGGGTCTACCCTTGGTCCTCCCGTCTCTATCCTCCTCCATCACTCATCCATGTGAACAGCCCCACCAGGTCTCTGGATGCATCTGCAACTACCACCCCTCCCACTCGCCAGCCTCCCTGCCGAGAGCAGCACACGGACTGTGTGTATCTTCCAGAACCCCGCTTCCATGTCACACCTTCAGGGCCACCCTACAGCAAACTCCTTGCTCCTTCCGGATTGAGGCAGCACTCTGTATTTCCTGGGTACTCCCAGCCCTTCTCATGTAAGCCAATGAGGGTGGGCACAAGGAGGCCCCAGACAGGCAGAACTCACCACTGGGGCAAATACAGCTAGGGTCATTTCCCAGTCATGCCCAGCTCTCTCACCTGTCCACAGTGAATTCCAGATGGCACTTTTCCTTTGATTCCACCATAATTAGACGGATCCATCCACAGAAGGAATTCCCAGCATCGTGAGAAGGAAATGGTCAGGGAATGGAAGAGCTCTTTAGAATGGATGCTGCAGAGAACCAGGGAGAAGCTGCATGTGAAACCAACGGCGTCCCTCTCCTCCACTTCCTGTCTTTCCCTTCCTGGTATCTGCTCACCCTTCTCTTACTTAAAGAGAGCTTGGGATGATGCAGATTACTCAGACTTCCTGGGGATGGCAGCCAGCAGGACTGAGACTGCCCTGGGAGGGTGGTACCTGAACTGGGGCTGAGGAAGACTGGCTGTGCTGTCTGCTGGGGGTCTCCCGGGGGCCAGCCTGCCTTGCACCCTCGTGACTATGGGTGACTGGAAGGGCTGCAAGTTTCCTTCATTCCCAGCACCCTCAGCCAAGTTGACTGATCCATGGCTCTGTCTCCGATGGGGAGAAACAGTGGAGGAACCCTAAGTGACGTATTTACACGCAGCCATACAACCCAGACACTGCTCCTCCAGGACCTTGGCACTTGTCCTGGCTGCTCTCAGAACAAGGGGAGAATGGCGGCAGTTTCTCGATGTGGCCCAACCCAGCCACTTCAGTGTTGGGCCTCCTGGAGCTGAGCCACAGCCCCCAGTGTCTCAGCCCCCCACCCCCTCCTGGTAGGCATATAGCATGACACTGGCAGACTGAAAGCTGGCTTGGACCCCTAGGCCATGTGGAAGGACAGGCAGCAGGTCTGCAGAGCCGTGGTCGTGTCTGTGCTGGCTGTGTGTGTGTGTCGAAGTGGGCGACCTCACCCCTGCCACCCAGGACTGGTACTGAGGAGTGATGAGACTTGACGGCAGAGTGGATCCACCCAGGGTTCCTGCCTACGCTGATCTTTCTGTGTTTAGGGAAGTGCTCCATTCCTGGTCCATGTGAACGCACCCAAAAGTGTGAGCTTCAGTTATAAACCAGAGCCTTTGGGCTACAGGGGCCTTGGGAGTGTGGCTCGGTGCAGGAGCCATTGCTTCCCCAAGCCAGAGCTGCAGCAGCTAAAGGCTGACCCATCCACAAGCCACAGCATGTTCAGTGCCACACCTGTGCCTGACACCCAGTGGCCTATGAGGTCTCCTCTAGTCACCATGCTGTGTGTCACGGATGCTGGCCCTTCAGCAGAGCCACAGCAGGCTGCAGTAGCAGGACGCCCCTCCACCCACCTGTTGGTGATGTACTTCATGTAGGCGATGGCGTCCTCAATGCGGCGCTTTCTGGTACAGAGAATGATTCGGTTGAAATTGGCATAGACGACTGATGACCCCAGGCGCTGGAACTCAGCCACGAGCCTGTGGGACAAGTCCAGTCAACGGCAAGGAGGGGCCCAGTGCCCTGGACCCAGCACTGCGGAGAAGCCTGGGAGCCCAGCCCCAGGGAAGGCCTCCCAGCTGCACTGGAGCCACACAGGCCCTGCTATGCTGCCCAGACTGTCCTGAATCCCATATGGATGGGACTGCAGACACAGGCCACAGTATCTGGCAGCAGTTTCTGCATGGTAAGAAAATATGACAGAGGCAAAGGATAACATACACAAACACCCCCAAAAGGAAAAACAGGAAAAAATTTGCAAGCTCCTATGGAAAGATGGCTATTTTTTTAAACACAGAGAATTCATTTTTGCCCCCTGTACTGAGGATTGAACCCAGGGACTCTCCACCACTGAGCTACACCTCAGCCTTTTATATTTTCTTTTGAGACAGGGTCTCAACTAAACTGATGAGGTTGGCCTTGAACATACCATCCTGCTGCCTCATCCTCCTGAGTAGCTGGGATTACAGGCATGTACCACCATCCTCAGCTTCATTCCATTTTTTAATATTTTTTTTAGTTGAACATGGACACAATACTTTTGTTTTACTAATTTATTTTACGTGGTGCTGGGGATGGAACCTAGTGCCTCACATGTGCAAGGGCAAGCACTCTACCACTGAGCCACAACCCCAGCCTCTCATTCCATTTTTAATAAGAGAAAAACCCAACAAAACTACAGGAAAATGAGTAAAGAACATGAAGAGAAAGTTCGACTTCATTCATAATTGGGATGGTACAGTAAGACGACATCGAAACAGCACCCTCATTCCTTGATGTCGGCAAATCCCCAGCTGTGACAGCAAGGAGCAGGGGCACGGTACCCTTAATCATGAGCCGGCATAGAGGGCTCTTGGCAATACCAACCACCCAGACATAATGCCCATCGAAGCTGCAACAGCAGGACCTCCACAGATGCCGCTGCTGCTCATGCATAGAGCCTTTCGTGACTTAGTACTCCTAGCAGAATGAAGCAGGACAATCTAAAGGTCCACTGGTGTGGTACCTCCACACGCAGCCCTCCTAGGGGCATTCACCACAGCAAGGTGGACACACAATGCAGACAGGCTGCAGGGGACCTTCTGGCCTGGCCGCTCCACTGCTGTGTGCCCTGGCCTGGGTGAGTACTCACTGCAGGAAGAGCTTCTTCATCATGTTGTGGAGTGTCCGGTGCAGGGCGGGGTCATGCAGCAGAGAGCTCGAGGACTGTAGCCAGCGGTAGAAGTGCACCACCTGGTTGTCGGCGTAGACGTTGTGGTACTGCATGATCTCCTTTACCCAGCCCACGACCATGCTCTTGAGGATCCTGGAAGACAGGCGCAGGAAGGTGTGCCACCACCCCTCGCCAGCTCTGACCCCCAGTTTCCAGACCACACCGTGGGCCCTGAGCTCCTTCTGCCTGTCCCACTGCACAGCATCACCTCCTCCAAACATTAAGTGCTGCCGCCACCAGAGATGTGAGCATTGCTCACCTCTCAACATAGCACCTCACCTGCTGGAAACTTCAAGGGGGGGGTTTGCCTGTGACAGGCTGTCATGGTCACAGAGTTCATTCATGGAACCTTCCCTGCCCACTGCCACAGTGATGGTCTCTGCCATCTGGCACTGATCCCATCTGCCTCTCAGGCTGAACCACTTGTGTCCTTTGCAGCCAAGACACTGTTCCCAGCCCCTCCTCCTCTCCCTACCTTGTCCCATCCCAGCGAATTCCCTCCTTCTGTGGGGAGGCCCCAGGGTAACAGCTGAGGCACACAATCTGGGATCAGGTTCCTCTTGAGTGCAAACCCTCACACTCAGTTGCACCAAGAGTGGCCACAACTGTGGCCACCCTGACCTCAGTTTCCCTCTCCATGATGGGCAACTGTACCACTCTGCAAGCTGCTGGGGCCTGAGGGAGAACATGACCCCCCCACACACACACAGAAGTGCCCCTCGGCACACACTGCACGTCACCAGGACCACGGCTGATCAAGTCCCTGACAGCCAACAGTGACCATAACAACTCACACACACGCCTCACTCAGCTGAGAAGCAGCCATGTGAGAAGGGTTTTTGGGCCAAATGCCTTTGGCCATAGGAGGGCAGGAGGGAGTGCAAGGACTTGTCATGATAACCAGGCAGGACACGTGCATGGGCCACGGGGACACTGACTGAAACGGCCGCATGAGACTGGGAGAAGGGAAGCCCGAGGGGCACTGCCTTAGGCCTCTCCACTGTTCTACAGGAGGTGAGCATACAGCAAGGGGGCACCTGAAGGTGCTGGAGCAGAGGGCTGTCTCATCGTAGCTGGCTGGGGCACTAGAGGCCTGATTGCCTGTGACCATGTCCTCCAGTGAGGCCTGCTGGATCACGTCAAAGCTGATGCCCATGCTGCCGGCCCCCTCCATGTCGTTCACGTGGTGGGACTGGAGGATGGTGTTAACGGCCAGGTTCTGGATGTCCAGCTCCACACACACTGCAGAGGAGACATTGCTGTCCATGTACCCTGGCCACCTCTAGCACTATCTCCTGGACCCAGACCCAGCCACTGATACTGCCAAGACAGTCAGCACTGCCCAGTGTGTTCAGGTGTGGCATGTACCCTCTGACCTCCAGCAGAACTGCAGGGCCATCAGCTTCTGGCCTTGACTCTGAGATACCCTCTGTGGCCTCAGCTCTTGGCAGGCAGCTGGTGCTGAGTCTGGCTGCCCAGAGTACATGGTGAGATGGCAGGACAGCCCGCCCCCGCCCCACTCACCGGTGGAGTAGCAACCAGGACTGTTAATCTCCACGGTGGCACGGTCCTCGAATTCCATGACAAGGCGGTTGTCGTCGGCCTCCTTCCCGCCCAGGTCGGGACGGGCTGTGGGGGACAGCCAGAGCAGGTGGTTGTGACGCTGCAGGTGGCGGGCAAAGAAAAGGTCGGAGCCAAAGGTGGAGATGTCCTCTGGCAGATTCCCAACGGGAATGTGGAAGTACCTGTGTGGAGGCGCATGGTCAGCCCAGGCAGCGCCGGGGACCACTCGCCTGCCACGGTAGCGGCCTGGCCCTGGCTGCTGGCCTCTGGGCTCACCTGCTCATCTCGAAGGCCTGTGACAGGCAGGTGTCCAGGTGGAGGTAGTGCCGGATCATGCGGCGGGCTCCGTGCCGCTGCCAGTCTAGGACTCCATAGCTGATCTTGTCGACCACGCGCACAGGCACCAGCGGGAACTCCTCCAGCACAGGGATCTCGCTGGCGAGCTTCTGCAGTTCCCAGCTGGACTGCACTGCAATGAGGGTGGGTCCCCGGCGTTCCTCCTGTGTTGGGCAGAAGAAAAAAAGGCCTGGTAGATAGAGCCTCAGAGCAGTGGTCTCTCACAGCAGGACTCTAACCTCCCTCACCTTGTAGGCCAGCAGGAAGCGCTGGATGGCCCTGCAGATGGTCTTCAGGTCAGTTTCAGCACGAACTTCAAAGGTATGTCTGGGGGGTGGCAGGAGCTCGGGGCCCACCTTCTCCAGCAGAAGGCTGTGCTCCGCTGAGTACAGGGTGCTGAGGCTGGGCATCTGGTTGCTGCGCACCTGTAGGAGAGTAGCCGTGTGAGCCCCTTCCTGATGGATAGAGCAGGGACCCTGCCAACCCACCGGGTCAAGGACTCACCGTGTCCAACACAAACACAGATGCTCTGCGCTGTGAGGGGACAAAGAGCCCAAAGAGTGCCTTGTGGCCCTGCGTGTGGTGGTACAGGTAGATGTGGCGGATGCTGCCTGCAGAAGGAAGTGCACGTCATGGGAGGTGTGCAGGAGGTGTATGGGTGGCAGGGCAGGAGGCATAAGCTGTACCTGGTTCCAGGTAGCTGAATTGGGCCAGAGAACGCATCTCGAGGTGATCTAGGGTGAAGGTCTCAGCTTCCCAGCCCGAGAGGTGCCGCACCAGCTGTCTGTTGACCACACACACACAGCCCAGCTGCACCAGTGCCCGGAACAACAACGGCACCTGGAAGAGTGGGCAGATAGGCCAGTGAGGCTGATGGGGGCTCTTGCACCCTCGGCTCACCCTGGGTTACCCCCAGGCTCCTCTAACAGGCCTGCTGAGACCCACCTTCCCAGGACAGTCTATTGTCACTGCTGTCCCTGGTCCAGGCCCAGCTGGACCCATACCGGGTTCAGCAGGGTGTGGCTGGGAAAGTTACCTGAGTCTCGTAGACACCCTCGATGTCCGGCGCTGACAGCTCAGTGTTGATCTCGTTGATGTGTTCTTGGTACATGTCCTCTGGCACTGAATACTCATAGAGATTGTAGACCATGTTGGAACGAGGCAGAATGCGGTTCACCTGGTGACAACACAGTGGTGGTCTTGTCATGGCCTCCAAGGGGCATGTCGATGGAATCCTAGAACTTCCTGTGCCTACAGTGGTCAGCCTGCCTTCCCAAGTGTCACAACTACAAGATCTGAACGTAACTTAGAAAAGCAACCTGTGGCCTCTGAAAGTAGAGAGGCACTCACAGACTGAGGTATTGTATCACCCTAAAGCAAAGGGGGCAGTAAGGTACCACATCCCTGAATGCCCCCCTGTTCCCCAGAACCCAGCCACGTTAAGGGAGCAGTGGGAGCAGGCCCAGGCTGGCAGGTCCAGAAATGTGCCATCTTGGTGGGCGCTGGCTGTCTCTGCGCACAATGCTGGGAGCTGGGCGGAACGGTTTTATCTGGGGAAAGCTCCTTTACTGCACTGGCACCAGGACAACTGCTCCTTGGGATGTTGGTCAGACAAGCCAACTAAGCTAAATCTGCTAGTGTCCCTGCATCTGCTATCCACCTATAAAACCCCTGAGTGGGGAGGGGCGCAGAGCAGGGGGCACTGTGGAAAGCATAGGGTCGCTCCTCTAGCTGGACACCTCTGGGCAGAGCCCCACCAGGGAGAGGAGGTGCTGTCACCAGGAACTCTGCTCGGAGCAGTCCTGATCTCTCGTGAGCTTTCCCCAGTAAACTGAACGTCTCTCCTGCTGTCTCCAGGGACTTTCCTTGGCCTGTCTGCAACCTGGCCCACCGCCCTGGCACACCTGGGCAGGGATCAGACAAGTGTCAATACCAGTCTTGTGGGGGGGCCCAGTTTATTGTCCTCTGATCTCTCCTGGGCTCAATAGGAGGGTGCAAGTAGCAAACATTGAGAGAAACCATGTTTTCCTAGCCAGAGACCCGGAAAGGAGCTGCTGTGTAGAGGAACCCTGGAGAGAAGAAAGCTGGACCCTAATTCTGCACAGGGACCAGCATGTCTGACAAGCTCACCCTGAGCTCTGCATGGTCAGACAGACCAGGCAGCTCAGCAAAGGCTGCCAACACCGAAGGCTTCCACAAAGAGGGTCAGACAGAATCTGGGGTCTGAAATTAACTGGGTGGCTTCCTCAACATTCTCTAAAGGGTTCTTTTAAATGCCCAAAGTCAGCTGGGTGCGGTGGTGTAGGCCTCTGATCCCAGGCACTCAGAGGCCGAGACAGGGAGATTCCAAGTTCCAGGCCAGCCTGGGCAACTCAACATGACTCTGTCTCAAAATCAAAATGAAAAGGGCTGGGGTGTAGCTCAGTGGTAGAGAACTGGGGTGGCCTTATTCATAAGGCTCCGGGTTCCACCCTCAGTCCTGCAAAGTAACGCCTGAAGCCTCAATAGCACTTGTAAAACGTCCAACCAAGAACACATGGACGGCTCTCCAGGGAGGAGAGAGCCAGGAGGGTCGGCCCTGGGATGACCCAGACCTGTGACCAACAGTGCCTGTGCAGCAGCTACAGTCGCTTCCCACCAGGCACAGGCCAACAGCCTCACCCGGATGAACAGAGGACTGAAAAGGGAGAAAGAATCAACTTGAAAACCAGCCTCTGAACACAGCAATCTACAGGGGTTCAGCAGCAGCCCCAAGAGGGAGAAAACTGTCAGCACCCAAGAACGAGTTGGCAGAAACCATCCACCTGAAAGCAGACCCCTTCACAAAAGATCAGTCACGCTCTACTCTCTCCAGACACAGAAGGCCACCTCACAAGGGTGAGGAAAGAAAAGGTGACAGGGAAGCAGAGGTCGTCCTCGGCAAGACCATGAACAGTCTCTGGCTTCCCTGAGGCAATCTCTGTGGGGGCTCACCTAAGGGAGAGAAGGAACCTGCATGATCCACTGTGAGGGCGCAGGAATGGTGACACCAATGGCCAGGGGCAGATCCCAGAGAAGGGCAGAGAAGACAGCACGAGGGAACGCAGGGTGACGGGACCCTTCTCCACCTCGACTCTACACACACTAGGAAACTAGAAAACTTCATCAAGAAGATTGCTCTGCTGCATTTAAATTGTAAGAGAGTCTGGAAAAATAAACAACATCTCTCCTCCTTCCTCAGAACTGGAAAATGTGAAGCAGGAATGATGGAAAGGACGTTCCCATCTCATCTGCATATTCTCGACACTGTCGGCAAGCACCTATACGAACATGCTGTGTGTGGTTTAAGAAATAAAGCTCTTCAGAGGCCCAGTGTACCCTGACAGACTCCACAGACATAGGCCCAAGGCTACCACTGAGGCTCTACCTGGGGGCAGTCCAGCTGTCCACGGCCAGGCAAGCAGCAGAGGCTGTCCCAAGCAGCAGAGGTGTCATGGGCCATGACACCTTAGGAACAGCAAGTCCTAGTACTGGTCTGGATGATTTCCCCAGCACAGCACTAAGTTCATTGTAATTAATTCAAAATGGAAAAAAAAACAAAAACAAAAAACTACTCCCCTTAAAATTAACAAGGAAAACAGATCAATAAAAGGTAAATATATCCAGCTTGTCTTAAAAAGATGACCTGGGAGCCACTTGAAGGGATCCTGCTGGTCCAACAGGGTGATGTGGGTCTCAAGGAGGCAATGACTGTCCTGTTGTGGAAATGCCTCTTGGATACAAGGTTCCAGCAGGTCTACACATCTGTAGCAGGGGTGCGTCCTCAGACCTGGCTGCACAGGGTGGAGGCACTTGGCCTGGGCAAGGCAGGCAGACTCTTGTCAAAACCAGCAAGACCATGTGTTTAAGTCCCACTGAACTGTAATCACACCTCATGGACTTACTGGGTGTCAGGGAGATCTGACTAAGTGATCTTACAATATTAAACAACACGTATTCCCAAGTCCACAGTAATACATATATTTTTTTAGTACTGGGGACTGAACAAAGGGGTGCTCTACAGCTGGGCCACATCCCCAGACCTTTTTAAAATTTATTTTGAGACAGGGTCTCCCCAGGTTGCCCAGGCTAGCCTCAAGCTTCCGGTCCTCCTGCCTTTGTCTCCTGAGTTGCTAGATCATAGGCGAGCACCACTGTGCCCAGCCACAGTGATGCTTTAAAAGGACACAAAGTAAAAATCCATTTATTCTTTTCTTGGAAATTTAATATAATCTAAGGGAAGATGATATGCATTTATCTTGCTTTTTAAGAAAGAAACCAATTCATGTCTGATCTGGGACTGGCTCAGTTGCAGGGCACACACAGCATACTCAGGCCAGGGATTCAATTCCCAACACCACCAAAGACCAAACCAAACTGTAATTCATCTCTATCTGGTACACACTAAGTTCCCGTCAGAACACAGAAGGGCAGGACTAGAAGTCCTTTCCCTGGAGTCCAGATGGGACCAGGGTCCAGGTGAGCATCTTCAGTGGCTCTGGAAAGAGGCTGAGGACAGGTGTGCATCTCTCTAGGTGAGTCGTGTCACAAAGGAAGCGAGGTTCTGCTAGTGAGGATACTCCTGTGTGGCCGTGCTGCGCTTCTCTGGAGGGCTGAGGGAATCCCCCCGTACCATCTACCCCTGTGGTCCTGAGAACCCCTCCCCACTTTCTAGGTGCACATTTCACCAAATCGACTGAATGGGCCTAGGCTTTGCCTTCTCCAGCTACAAATATTCACAACTCAGCTGCTCACCTGGGTGCCACTTGCTACATAGGTCACAGTATCCAACCAAGAAATATAACAGGACAACCTCAGAGAGCACAGTGGGTCAAGTGGAGCTTCATCTGAGACAGCAGTAAGAGCTAACAAGGACATGATACCTAGGTGACATTCCCAGAAGCATTCTAAGGGGAAGAGTCTCAGCAAAAAAGACCATGTATTGCAGGGCTCCGTTTGCAAGGAATGTCCAGACAGGCAAACCTACACACAGGGCTAGGAGGAGAACTCTGGGCAGGAGGGTAGAGGCTGCCTTTCAGGATGATGAAAACATCTTAAAATCAGAGGTGGCTCCAGTGGCAGTGCTGTGAATTCACTAAAGCCACAAAATAGTACATTCTTTAAATGGATGGACTGCACAGTGTGTAAATTTATACCTCAAAAAAGCTACTTACAGCAGCAGTGTCTACAGAAAGTCTGTACCCTTTATCAAGTCTACCAGTGCACACACCTCACAGCCAAGGACAGTGACAGTAGCAGCTCCTGCACCCCAGCCCTGCTTTGGCCCTGGTTCTGTGCTCAGCACTCAGATATCATTTCAAGTAATTCTTACCATGTCCCAGTAAGGTACCTAGGTCCTCGGGTCTGCAAAGCACACACTCCTGGTCATCTCTTTAACACCCCCCATCCATGTGACAACAACAGCAGCAGCCCCCTACCTTCCGACAGGAAGGCCCCTCCTCTGCTTTGGCCACTCGCTGGTTCACATAGAACACGCGGGGGATGCTCAGCTTGATAGAGTGCAAGTCACTACCAATGATGGCCCACAGCCTGAACAGGCCAGCCTGGCTGGTCTGGCTGATCTGAAAGGAAATGACAACGCGTAGCATGTGACAGAACACATGGACACCTGTGAACAAGCCACTCGGAGTTGCTCAGGACCCCTGCAACAGGTAGGAAAGTTGAAAGTCTGTCTTATTCATTTGGACCCCAGGGATGGCCCGGCACTCCCTGGACCCATGAATAGTGCTGCTGGTTCAGGGGTGTCCTGCCTCCCTGATAAAAAGTCCACACCTGCCCGCTTGGGTCAAGGCCCACACCTGTACAATCTGCCAGGGAAGGTCTAGAATGCTACGTGCAGTTCTTCTCAAGAAGCTCCCCAGCCCTGTGGCAGGCCCGTCTCGGATGGCCCCATGCCTTGGCAAATCCTCTGCCGACTCCAGACGCTGCTTCTTCCTGCGGGCCAGGCGCTGTCGGGCCTGTAGCTGCCACTTCTTCTTGTGGAACCGGAGCCAGACCAGCCATTCTTCCTGGGACAGATGGCAACACAACCAACAGGCACATTGTGAGGTAGAACCATCCCCCCTTGACAGCTTTTAAGCTCTGCAGCTTCCATGTGCTCTGGGATGACTAGGCATCATCACACCCAACTTCCCCAGGGGCCAGGACCTGCCTTGGGGTCCCTGAACGGCCCTCCAGTCACCCCAGCTTCTCACCTGGGTGGTGCCAAGTGTAGGAGGTTGCCCCAAGATCTCCCGCCAGGGCACCGTCAGCGTGAGTTCCTGAGACTCCTCTTGGCTCTCCCAGAGGACTCGCTTCCTCTTGGTGGCTACAGGGATTGCTGGATGGGGTGGCTTTATGAGGCCAAAGTCCTCCATGTCGGGAGCACCTGGCCTGGGGCTGTCTTCTAGGCCCTGAGCCATCACGATCTGGAAAGACCCAAACTGCCTTAACTTTCAGGAGCTTGTTCCTGTAAACTCTACCACTTGAACCTAATATGTTACCTAAAACGGGATAGAGACTTATGACCCAATTTAACTTAAAAAATTTTTTTTAGTTGTATATACCTTCATTTAATTTATTTACTTATATAAATAAAAATATATAATATGGTGCTGAGGATCAAACCCAGTGTCTCACACATGCTAGGCAAGAGCTGTACCACTGAGCACAACCCCAGCTCTGATTTAACCTTTAATAGCAAAGAGGGCAAATAGAAAAGTTTAGAAAACAATGTCATTCAAGTACCACCAGTGATTGCTAGAGGATGCTCCTTTTAAATAAGACAAATGATTGCAAACAATAGCTAACGCGCCCCTTCTTCCGCCTACCATGCTGCTCTCAGGAGCAGCCTCATTCCCCACGTTTTTACTTATTCTGCTTGACCATAAACAACAAGCAGCACAGCTGTTTTACTTCAGGCAAACAGCAATATGTGGTGTACCCCCTACTGACTGTGGCGTGGACCAGGTGTCTGGGATGGGCACCTGCTGGTGCACGCGCAGGTCCTTTAATCTTAACTGCAGCAGGATATCTGTCACAGGGAAAACCAGCCTTCTGTTGCTTTCCAGATAAAGAAGAGCTAGCTCCCACTTCCTCAGAACCACAAGCTGTGACTAGTGCGCACCTCTGCATGTGCTGCCTGTACCTCACATACCAACAAGCTCCCATCTGCCGGTCCTGACACTTCACATGACCGTCATCACTCAGGGTGGCTGCCATTGGGACACGTCATACTGTGGGGTCTGGCGACTTCTGGCACCTATGCAGGCAGCCTTGCAGTGGCTCAGTGATGCCCACCGCCTGGCATTCATACCTGTGAGTCCCTCCCTGAGTGTGGTGATGCAGTGGACTGCTTTCAGTGAACAGATTACAACACAGTGGTGGGTTCCCTGAAACCAGCTATAGAATGCTGTGACTTCCACTTGTCCACACTGACTGGTTCTTACCCATGGCTCGCTCTGAAGATGCCCACTGCCATGCTGTGAGCTGTCCTGCAGAGTGCCCCTAAAGTGCTCCTGGCACAGCCAGCAAGGAGCCAGGTCCAGCCCCTACCCCAGGAGGGAGCCTGGAGGCAGCTCCTCCCCAGTCGGGCCTTCAAGTGAAACAACAGCCCAGCTGTGGACCCCGAGCTGAACACTCAGCCATGCTGTGCAGACTCCTGACCCTTCGAGAGTGACCTGCACCATGTGGTATTCAAGCTGCTATGTTTTGGGGGACATATGTTGTGTTGCAACGTTTAACTAAATATGTTTATGAACCATTTCTAACTTTGGTGTATTCCAACTATCTTCAAATTATGATTTGTCTCTTCAATTTTATGGCGACTTGTGTGCTATAAAAATGTGCATTATGCTGAGGCTGGGGCTCAGTGGTACAGCACTTGCCTGGCACGTGTGAGGCACTGGGTTTGATCCTCAGCACCACATAAAAATAATTCCCACCTTTTCTCAGTACTGCGGAATCAACCCAGGGCCTCACACATACAGAGCAAGTGTTCTTCCACTGAGCCACATCCCACCTCCACCCAATTCTTATTACCCAGTTCAGTACCCAGTCATTCTGCTGTTCTTTTTTAGACCAGAGTATTTAGACTCACATTAATGAATCAGTCTTTCCCTATGCTGTGTTTCTTGTGTGCTTTAAGAAGCCCTTCCCATCCCAGCATGGGGAAGGCACTCTCTTGTATTTGTTCCTAGAGATTTCAATTGAAATCTTTATTCTTGGGGCTGAGATGTGGCTTGGTGGTGCCTACCTAGGAAGCATGGGGCCCTGGGTTCAATCACAGCACTGCAAAAGAAAACAATAAAAGAAAGAAGTCTTCATTCTGTTTGGAATTATTTTCATATTTGGAGATATGGTAACTTAATATAAATAGCCATTTTCCCCAGCACCTTAGCTGACCAGTGGTCCCTTCTCTCCCTAGAACTTGTCATGGCACATCTGTGATATGCCAACGGCCCCTGGCACAAGGATCTTCTTCTTCTTCTTTTTTTTTTTTTTTGGTGCTGGGTATTGAAACCAGGGACTTGTGCATGCAAGGCGATCCTCTACCAACTGAGCTATATCTCCAGCCCCATAAGGATCTTCTTTCAGGCTCCTAGTTAGCTCTACTCTCTAGCCTTTACAGATACAGCAAGGCACAATGAAAGATCTGTATCCTTCGGGCTGGGGATGTGGCTTAAGTGGTAATGCGCTCGCCTAGTGTGTGTGAGGCCCTGGGTTTGATTCTCGGCACCACATAAAAATAAAGATATTGTGTCCACCTAAAACTGAAAAATAAATATTTTAAAAAAAAGATCTGTATCCTTCAAAATTGCTCTGGTTGTCTCAGTGCAGTGGTGCATGCCTGTAATCCCAGAGGCTTAGGAGGCTAAGGCAGGAGGATTGCAAGTTTGAGACCATCCTCAGCAACTTAGTAAGAAGCACTCCTGGGTTCAGACCCCAGTGATTGGAAAAAAAAAAAAAAGAAAGAAAAAGAAAAGCTCTGGTTATTTATTTTTTCTTAAAGTGTGGAATATTCAAGCTTAAATTTTTTTTAGTTGTAGATGGACAAGATCTTTATTTATTCATTTATTTTTATGTGGTGTTAAGGATCCAACCCAGTGCCTCACCCGTGTGAGGCAAGTGCTCTACCACTAAGATCCAGCCTCAGTTATTTTGATCTTTACTCTTCACATGGATTTCAGGATTAATCTATCAAGTTGTAGCCCCAAAACTCTGTAGATGATTTTACTGGAATCACAGTGAATTTTATGGATTAATTTGGGGCAAACTGCTTCTAATATTGAGTCCTTCCACACAAGAAGATGGTTCTTAGGTGACTTTTTACATATTTAAATAAAGTCACATTTTTTTCAATGAAAACCTTACATATATTTGTTACCAAGAATTTATTTGCTATTATTATAAATGGTACCTTTTGAAAAGTATTTTCTAATGTTTCCAGTGTAAAAGCTACAGATTTTTTTAATTTATTTTTTTTTTATGTGGTGCTGAGGATCGAACCCAGGGCCTTGCACATGCTAGGCAAGCGCTCTACTGCTGAGCCATAACCGCAGCCTCAAAGCTAGATTTTTATATATTATCTTGTATCTGTGTTGCTCAAATGTGTTACTCTTGTCCTATTAAATGTAAAAATAACATCTAGGCTTCCTTATATTTTGTGTTACCAGATCATATTATCTGCAAACAGTGAGTTTGTTTCCCTCTTTTTGTATTTTTGGCACTGGGGATTGAACCCTGGGGTTCTCTACCACTGAGCTACATGCCCAGCTCTTTTTGAGACAGGGTCTTAAGTTGCTTAGCTGGCCTCAAACCTGCGATCCTCTTGCCTCAGCCTCCTGAGTGGCTGCTATTATAGGTGTGTGCCACCATGCCCAGCTTTTCTTTCAATACCTAAAGTTTAATTTTTCTTGTCTAATTATGCCAGCAAAGACCTCCAAACAGTCTTGAAAAGCAGCATGCTAACACATACCGCTCTCATCCCTTCCTTCAAGCTTCCAGTGTTTTGCCACAAAGCAGAGGTCTGCAGCCAGGGCCAAGATGTGCTCTATCAGAGAGAAACACCTCATCTAACCCGACTTCGACTGCTGAAAGCTTTATCCTGAACCAACATTAAAGTCTATCAAATGTTTTTTCTGCATCTCTTTGAGATGATCCTCTGAGTTTTCTTTCTTAATGATGAATTAAATGGACTCTCCCAGGAATAATTCAATTAGCAGCTTACTAAAACACTTGCGCCTCCTCGCGTGAATCCTACTTGGTCAATCATTCTTGTTCTTGTGCTACCCCATTGACTTTTGCTAATATTCTTGCATCTGTTGTCTATTTTAACTAAAAATGGCCTAAGACTTCCTATCTCACATTGTTATTGGTTCCGTCACCAACTAATAAGCACTACCAATGGTCACTAAGCACAGAATGTTGAGTAAAATTCCTCTGAAGACCTGTGTGGGTTTGGTGTTGGCTCCTTTTCACCTGTGGTTGAGTTCTCCTTCAATGGTTCAAATTCTGTTCAGGTTTCCTCATTTCTTCCAGGGCTGTTTTTCACAAATCTTCTATGGTGCTGTCCATTCCATTTATTTTCCAGTTTAGCACAGAATGGGAATTTTTTCATTTTTCCAGGCTTTATTGGTAATTACTCTGGTTTTCATTAATTGCTCATGTCTGGAGCCAGTCTATGCTCAGGAGAGGCTCCGGCTGTCTCTTCATTTCTGCCCTTGCCATAGGGTTTCTTTCTACTTCCTGTGTGTCTGTTGCTCTGACTCTGTCAGATAAAACCTGAATCTATGTCTACTGTTCTTCCTAACACATGTGTGTAGACATGCAAATGTGCATACACTGTCTGCACACTACCAATCTCAATAGTGTATTTCCACTCAGTTCTGAGTATTGTCTAATTTCCTTTGTGACTTCTTTGATCCATGAATTACTTATAAGCCTTGTTTCTTAACTTCCAAACATGGTCTGTATTGAAATTATTTGGAACCTGTTACAACTTACTTTGTAGTATATATAGGGTTGTTATTTTGTGTTCTTGCAAAGAATGTGCTTCTCTACTTATTTTTATTAGTTATTGATGGACCTTTATTCATTTATTTGTTTTATATGTGGTGCTGAGAATCGAACCCAGTGCCTCACACATGTTAGGCAAGCGTGCTACCACTGAGCCACAACCCAGCCCCCCCAGCCCCCACTTATTGAGTGTAAGATTTTGTTTGTTGGCTGGGGTTGTGGCTCAAAGGGAGAGTATTTGCTTCGCACATGCAAGGCCTTGGTTTGATTCTCAGCACCACATAAAACAAAATAAATAAAACTAAAAAAAAAAAAAAAGATTTTGTTTGTTTACTACAAGTAGCTAATTACTAAATCTAGTTAAGTATATCATTCCAACTTTATGTGTTTTTACTAATTTCTGGTCTGCTTAATATGTCAGTTGAGAGAGTTAAAATTTCCCGAATTGCCAATTTTTCTTATAATCGGGTAAAATTTTACATTACTGAATTTGAGGCTACATTATTAGAATTTCATGTTCCCAATGAATTAAAACTTCCAGGATTATTCAATAACTCTCCTATGTCTGCTAATATTCTTGGGCTTAGACATTATTTGTCTGCATTAATATAGTGATGTTGGCTTTCTTTTGGTTAATATTTACCTGGTGCATTTACTTCTTCTGTACCCTCATTTCTTAGGTACAGCTCTTACAAATGAGACATGTGAAGTCTTTAAAATCCAGTCCACCCGAGAATCTGGATTTTTAAAAAATCAGGTGAGGGACTGTGTTGCTCTGGTTTATAGTTCACTTTAATTTTTCAGCACTTGAAAATATTTCTTCACTGTTGTGAATTTAGCTAACATTTCCACTGTATTATCTCCACTGTTTCCAAGTGTGTCTACAGGAAAGAATGTGTGTCTGCAGTAGCAAAACTGAGGCTACATGGTGCAGTGATCTGCTCACGCTCCCAGGTCTCATTCATATACCTCAATGTTTAAGCTTAAGATAGCTCTTTACCCTTACCTGATGACTCACAATCTGTTTCCAATTACAATAGTTAACACCGGAGGGCATTAAAGAACAAAGTACCAAGATGTACATTTTTAGGGGGGGAAAAAAAAGCACCTTAAAGATGGTACCGAGTACTGTGGATGGTAGCTCCAGTACCTTGACACCTCTGTCTCCTGGCTGAGTCTGTTACCTGTCTCTTTCCCTCAAGGACAAACAGCTCACTGATCTTCTTCTGCTTGTAGATGTCACTCTTCTCCAGCAGCTTCTTGTGCAGCCAGTCTGGGTGTCTGACGCGTGGCACTGGGTTCTTCACCTGCACAAGGATATCGAGCATGGATCGATGTGTCAGCTCCCTGGGTTCCCAGCTGCCTGGCTGGGTCCACTGGCTCTCGCCCTCACCTGCTGCAGAGCCGCGGGGATGGTGATGATCTTCTGGATGGCACTCCCCAGGCGCTCGATGTAGTAGTCCCAGTCCAGAATCTGCATAAGCAGGCAGCAGAGAGAAATGGCAGCAGGGGAACTCTGTGTTCAGTCTCAACCCACGCAGAGCACTGTGCTAAATGTTTTGTGTCCTACTTAATCCCCTAGAATTCCAGGTGCCTGCTTCAGAGGAGGAAACTTGGTAGACAGCTGAATGAGCTTACAAGCCAGTAGGTGGCTGAGCCAGTACACTTAGCTTTAGTCTATCCAAAAGAACAGCCGAAGGGCCTCCCAGCATTTTGCTTTTCCATTTGTGCCCTAAAATACTCTATTTCCTCACTTCTTACACATAAGAAAGAAGGCAGCCAGGAATGAAGACTCCAGACAAGACAGGAGATATGATCCAAGGCAGGCATATTTTGCTCTATTCTCACTAGCTTTCCTCTAAAATTTTTAAGAGTAGAAAAAAACTGGTACTCACTGTCCGAATATCAAAGTCTTGAAGGGATGAGCTCTTAAGCCATTTCCGAAGAAAGTGCTTCCTCACTGTGGGCTCTGCTTGGAAAATGGCAAGTGGGATGGCCCTGGGTGAGGAAGAAAGCAAAGAGACTCACAATGAGACTCACCCAGATCCACTATAACTGTAATTAAATGTACATGGAAGTGTTTATAAGAGCTTATAACCTACATTTTAAAGAATGTTATGCTGTACAGACTGCATCTCATGTATGTTGATAATGTTCATAACTAGATGATGTTCCATTGTATTAAAAGACAGCTTTAACGTGCACTCCCCACCACTGGCTATTCTCAAGGCTTCCCATGGAGCCATCCCAGCTCTTGAAGTCCTGGTAGAAATTCAACCAGGAGCACACCAGGGACAAGCCCTTTATTCTGTGTGTCATCCACAGGCAGTCACAGCTTCCTCCTGTTTCCTTCGGGTCATCCCCACATGGTTCCAGCCTCTGTGCACACTGAAGTTTCCCGGTGGGAGAGGCATCTTTTGCAACTGCCCTTGAAGTGGTTCTAGAAGCCAGAGGGCATCTTTTTGTCAGCACAGGGAACTGAGTGACACAGGGAAGGGAGCTCGACCCAGACCTTGCCTGGTGACAGGACAATTGCATATGACCCTCCAAGACACCCTGACTCTAAGCCCTTGACAGAAAGGAGTTGACTCCCCAAACTCAGGTTCTCCAGGCTCAAACCCCCAGGGTCTCACCAGGACCCCAGCAAGGCTTACTTCTTTCAACACCAACCAGCACATGTTCTTGCTGAGGAAGCTCCACCACCCATGCCGTTTTGCATAGCCAGTCCCTCCCTGGAGGGTGCCCCTACCTCTCAGTGACAGGAGAGCCCTCAGGCTTGCGGGAGATGATGTAACGGCAGCTCAGCCCAGCATCCTTGACCATCTGGTCTCCCAGGAACTCAGCCAGGCGCTTTGCTGTGCTGATAGATGTGGACTTCTGCTCCCCATAATCTTCTAGCTTCCGAGACATCGAGCGGTTCTCAGATATCAACTCGAACAGCTCAGAATCGGGCATGTTAGCTGCCTAGAAAAAAAGGCAACGGGTGAAACCCTAGTGGAGAGGCCGAGGTCAGGCCTGAGCTCACTAGGGCTTTGATCCCACAGGACCAGCAGTGTCCCCACCCGAGGAGATAAAGGCAGGCTCTGTATTTTAAAAGGCTTTCCTATTACTGCTCATTTTATTTATTTAAAAATTTATCTTTTTTAAAAAATATTTTTTAGTTGTTGATGGACATTTGTTTATTAATTTATACATGGTGCTGAGAATTGAACCCAATGCCTCACACATGCTAGGCAAGCGCTCTACCACTGAGCTCTAGCCCCAGCCCTACTGCTCATTTTAATATCTAAACAAAAAGAGCACAAGACTTGAGTTTTTATTTTATTAAGTTGCATGAGAAATGTGTATTGGTGAGCAGCACTAAAAGTGCAGAGTAGAGGAAGGAGTTGAAGGAGGGAAGAACTGGAGGAAGGAGAGCCACTGGGACTAGCAGGGGACTCTGCCTTCTGGCCTGATGAGGCACCAATGGTGCTAGTGCAGTCCCAGCTTTCATTTGTGTGTATATGTGGTGCTGGGGATTGAACCCAGGGCCACATGTGCGCTGGCAAGTGCTCCACCACTGAGCACTGAGCCACCCCTTTGTATTTTGAGACAGGGCCTAACTTGCTGAGACTGGCCTTGAACTTATAATCTTTTCTGCCTCAGCCTCCCGAGCAGATGGGATTACAGGTCTGTGCCACCATGCCTGGCTGATGCAGCTGTTTCTTGGCACACTTGTTCCCCTACTGCCATCTGTAAGATCTGCTCAGCTCCTAAAAGCCAGAAACATGTTCCAGAACATTTCAACATTCCTTTTACCAAGAAAGACTACTGTTAAAAACAGAGCAAAGGAGGAAAGGCAGAGCCACATGCACACAGCAGCAGTGGTGGTAGCAGAGCTCTGACTGACGGCAGCTGACAGACAGCAGTGACCATCTCAGGAGGGCGGATTCGAGTTGCCAGGTGGCACGCAGCTTGTACATACAGAGTACACAGCAGCACAGGGGTAACCCAATGTTCTGAGGAATATCTGTCACTGTAATTCATTTTGTATTTCTTTTATTACAGTGCAGGGAGTAAGTTATAAAAGTTATAGTCAGGGGCTAGGGTTGCAGTTCAGTGGTAGAGTACTCGCCTAGCACGTGTGAGGTCCTGGGTTTGATCCTCAGCACCACATAAAAATAAATAAAATAAAGGTATTGTGTCCAACTACTACTACTAAAAAAAAAAAAAAAGTTATGGTCAGGTATAGTGGTGCATATCTGCAATCTCAGAGACTTGGAAGGCTGAGGCAGGAGGCTTGCAAGTTTGAGGCCAATCTCAGCAACTTAGCAGGACCTTGTCTCAAAATAAACAATAAAAGGGGGCTGGGGGTGTATGTAGCTCAGTAGCAAAGCTGGGTTCAATCCCCAGTACAAAACCCCTGGGTTCAATCCCCAGTACAAAAATAAAGACAAGACAAAATTAAACCAAACCAAAACAAACTGGACTTTACGTGTGCTTGTGTAGAGCCTACAGAGACTTTAAAAATCAGAGAAGTCCATGTGATCATTGGTAAATTTTCCCCCTATTTGATCATGTCAACTTAAAAATGCTTCCTTTAGAGTTGTCGCTGGACAGAGAAGCCAAGGGGGAATTCTGGGACACCAGTGCTAAGGGTCAGCCATGTCCATCTGCTCTCCAGGAGCCCAGGCACAAGGTCCCTTTCCTGCAAGAGAGGGTTGGTCCACTGACTCGGTGGTGAGGGAGGCGGCTCTGACCTTGCTGTATAGCACGTCCAGCCAGTAGTCGGCCACCTTGGCGACGGAGCCATACACTTCCTCCAGGGTGCTGCCCTTGAGGAAGGCCTCGAACACAGAGGACTGGAAGATTTTAATCAGCTGCAGCTCCCCACGGCGTTTGACCTCGAAGCCCTTCAGCTCAGCCAGGGAACCATCTTCATTAAATACAGCATATCTGAAAAAAGAAGGGCCCTACAGCAAAGCCTCGGTGGGGCACTGGCTGCTTCTGTCTCGCCTCTGCAGTCTTCAGCCCGCTCTCGCCCCCCATCGCCAGTGGCAGCCAATGGCACTCCACCCACAAAGGGTTCTCAACTCCAGAACAACTCAAGGGCCTACCCTACAGAACCAGAGGAGGGCAGTGTGAGGACCATTGCCGCACTGGGGTTCCGCTTCTCTCAAGTCAAGCCAGGGAGAAAACCCAACCAACACCCAGGCCTGTGCACCCTTGCTCTGGGCCTGAGTTCCAGATGGGTCGTGGAGCCCAATCCACCTCAACGCATCTCCTCCAGAGCACAGTGGCTGTGAGGGCCCTACCTCTTCTTCAGTTTCTTCCCCTCTTCTTTGGAGGCTGGAAGGATCATGGCAAGGTAGGGCCCGTCAACTTCAAAAAAGATGCTGTTCTCTGAGCGGGTAACGTAGGTGAGTGAGGAGGGCTCTGCCAACTCCTGGTACTGGTCGTTGGTAAAGCCTTCCTGAGAAACAAGTGAGAAGGGATAACTTCACTCACAAAGGCCCAGACCTGGAAGCCATCTGCTGTCCCTTAAGGTGTGGACAGGTCAGCAAACTGAGGTTGTTCCATACAGTGGTCACAACCTGGCAGCGAAAAGGAAGGGTGCCCTGAGACACACAATAGCCTGCTGATTCTCCAGTGCACTCTGCCCAGTCCAAGTTCTAGGCTGTTGTTTCCACATAGGACCTTCCAGGAAAAACACCATGGTTGCCGGGGTTTCAGGTGGGCGGGGGCTCTGTGGAGAACTGCCTGACTCTAGGGAGAACACAGCCAAGGCTGGATGGTCTCATACCAGGAATAAGTACTCCAAAAACAAAAGCCAAAAACCACAAAGAGGGCATGCCCGAGAGCACATGGCAGAGGTGAGGGAGCCGCAGGCCAACAGGGGGATCTGATAACCAACACGCATGGGTCAGATGGCACCATAACCTCACATGACAACACCCACCACCCTGCTGATGCAAATAAATAAGCCAACAGATAAACAAGGGAATAAATGGGAGAAGGCTGACAGCTCCTACAGAATTTCAGTTAATGTAAGTGGAAGAAATGGGGAAAGCCCACCATAGGAAACCCACATGGAGACAAGGGAGATCCGGGTTAGCATGCTGAAGCTTACAGAGCAACAGGGTACTGGCAAAGTCTCTAATTCTCTCCTCTATAACCCTCCTTAACCACTGTGGTGGCTCCAAATTTGCCCAGGTTCTGTGCTCCTCCAGGAAGGGGACTGACCCTTTCTTTGGGTGTCATTACTAAGAATGGCACATGCAGCAGAGAGAAGGAACCTCAGAGTAGAGAGGTATGGCAGATGCAGACAGCACCTATTTCTGGTGACCCACACAATGTCCCTAAAACGTTGACCCAACACAACCAGGACTCAACAGTGGGGTGTTAGTTCTGTGGTGGTCCTCCCAGAGAGCCCTAATAATCTCAGCTTCATAACAAGGAACAAAAGACAGCCCTGGATCAAGCTCAGGCAACAAAACGGCTGGCTAGGAGTCCAAGGCATAGCCCCAGGCTGGAGGGGATACAGTATGGGCTCGGGACAGAGGAAGGGCAGAAGCAAGAGAAGCAGGAGATCCCAGTGAAGTCTGGTTTAGTTACAGGGTGCACCAATAGGTGTTCCTTCATCTTGAATGACTGTGCTGTGGCTTATGTAGATGTTAATGCAGGGAAAGCAGGTTAGAGTGTACATGGAATTCTTTGTACTACTTTTTTAGTTTTCTGTAAGTTTAAATTAAAAAAAAAAAAAAAAGATCTAAAATAGTGTGGGTACTGTGCTGCAGGAGAAAGAACTCACTTGGTGACTTCTGCAGACTGACCACAGACCCTAAGGCCAGAAAAGACTTGAGGAGGTGAGGAAGTGTGTTTGTATCAGGAGGATGAGCAGGTGAGCTGAGGGTCTTGCAAAGAACCAGGGAAATCACCCTCCCTGAGGGCTGCCCGTGTCCATGCTGGGGCCAGGCCATCAGTCAGGATGAGATGTCCCTCCTGTTGCAACCCAAACTCACCTTGACCATGATGTTCAACATGGCCCCAGGGTAAGAGATGGTCACCTTGGGTTTCTTTGCATTGGTAGTCTTGATGACAAAATTTTCTGGGAAGCTATTGGGCAGGACGCACCATATTCCATCTGTGTCCAGTTCCAAGGGCCTCCTTTAGGGACAGAGAGGACTAAGGCCTCACGGATACGAGATGGTGGTCCCATATACTAGAGAACCAAGTGTCAGATCCCGCAAACACAATGACAGCAAACCCAGCCATCTTCCCAGTGAGAGATCTTCTAGTTATCAATCCTCCCAAGGCCCCTACCCTGTTGTGTGAGCCCTGGCTGAGGACCTAAGCCCACTCACCCGATCTGTTCTATCAGTTCTCGGGCCTGGGTGATGATGTTGGCCCCCGTAAAGCAGACAATGCCAGCCATCTCCATGGAGTACCAGCGTGCCCTGGGGAAGACAGTTGGCCTGCAATGGATGGGCTGTGGGAGTCCCGCCACAGGGACTGGGGGAGGGAAGGTAGGACCCCCGGAGGGACAATGGCAGCAGCCACACAAGCTTGAAACAGGACAAAACCAAGGTAGGATTTGGCTCTGCCCCAAGGACACTTCTGTCCCTACTTCAGGAAGCAAAGTGTGGCTCAGCAAAGTTCCGGAAGGGTGCAGTGTACAGCCTTGGCACCAGCTCAGTTTGGCAGGATGCAGTCCCTTCCTAGACCCAGCTAATGCCCTCTATACTCCCCCTCCACCTCTGGCCTCTAAGAGGACTTCAAGCGCTTGCCTGGGAGATGGCCCTCAGCCTTAAGCTAGCCCACCACACTACCTGCTTGGGCCAGTCCTCCACCTCGTGTCTCAGTCTCTCCACCCCCTCTGCCCCAGTGGCATTAAACATGTCACTCCCTCCAAAAGCAACAACAAGTAAATATATCCTTCCCTCAAAATTGATGACAGGGGCCAGACTCCCACCTTTATCCAGAGCTGCAGACAGCACCTATTTCTGGTGACCCACACAATGTCCCTAAAACGTTGACCCAACACAACCAGGACTCAACAGTGGGGTGTTAGTTCTGTGGTGGTCCTCCCAGAGAGCCCTAATAATCTCAGCTTCATAACAAGGAACAACAGACAGCCCTGGATCAAGCTCAGGCAACCACACCCCCGATCAAGAGGCCTGTCTTGCCTGCTGTTCCTGAGGCCCTGACCATTCCTGTCTAAGAAACATAGCTCAGGCCTCACTGCCCACCATCACCTGAACCTGCTTCCTACTCCCCCTGGAAACAGTGTCCACTGTGGCTTTAAGATCCTGGCCCCTCAGCCAGCTCCATGGCCATTGTTGGTCCATGCCTTGTCTACCCTTCAATGCATTGGCGCTGTTTGGCAAGCACCCAGGCCCTTTCCATACTCCCAGGGGATGACACCAAGTGGCACAGTATGCTGAAATCAATGAGGTGCCATTGTAGTCCACAGTGTTCAGACCAGGGGTCCAGCAGCCTGTATCTCCTCCAGCCAGCACAGCCCAACTCTCTGTGGCCTCCCAGGCCCACCCTGAGTCCACGTCTCCAGAAATCAACGAGCTATCCCCCCATCTCTCCGGACATTAGGACACTCTGCCCATGTACTTGTCCCTGAGCACCCGATGCAGCCCATACCCCTTGCGCATGACGTAGCCGTAGAAGGAGTTGAGAATGCACTTGTGAGCCAGCTGCAGCGAGTCATACAGGACCTCCATGTTCCTGCAGCGCTTCACCTCGGCTGCATCACCCGCCTCCATGGCTGCAGAGAGCTTCTTTTTCCACACCTGCAACATGCAAGCCGTGAGTGCTGCCTAGTTTTCCCATTTCACAAGGTCAACAGCCCAGAATTTATATCGCCTTCCATCCATCCCATGCCCCAAGAGTGTCTGAGCAGACCCACTCAAAAACTGCCGAGGTTACAACCCATGGGCCTTCTCCTCCTTCACCACGACACTTCCGCTGTGACCAAGACATCTAACAAGGTGGACACTTGCCAAAATCCACATTCAACTTCGCCCAGCCATCTCCAGCACATCCCTACTATGTGGACCATCGGGAGGCAAATGTTCCAAGCACCAGGGAACACAGCACATTCTCCCCCATGGGACCAGACTTGGAGCAAACACCCGCTACAGCAATGATCCACCAGCACACCTTAGACCTGAGGTCATTGCAACCCCTAGCAGAACCACATGAAAATGAGCTGATGACCACTGATGGGTCTCTTTGGGGCTCCCAGGCCAAGTCCCGCTGCCCCTTGCTCAGCGTGTTTGACAAGTGAGTTACAGTGTACAATCATAAAAACAGGAACCCGTGCCAGGCAGACAGCCGGCACAACCGCTACAGCCACCCCGCCGTGACAGTGCTTAGGTCCCTGACTGCTCATAAGATACGGCAAGCGTTGGCCAATAGATGCTGCAAAGCCAAGCAAGGAGCATGCAGTGTTCCCAATGATGTCTGGTACTGAGAGACAACCAAATGCATTTATCAAAACCACACAACTCTACAAAAGAGGGTGAGCACACTCTGTCAGAGGTGCTGCGGTGGGTTCAGGTGATGGCAGATCCAGCTCACTTTCACCAATGCCCGCTGGCCCTCCTACCACGCTGTACCACAGAGACATTACAGCCACAGCCCAACACACAGCACCCTCCTGGTCCCAGCAGACCCCTGCTCCCCCGTCGAGATGTTCCAGGAACTTAATAAAGTCTTAGGCAATCGAGACTCCACAGAGTTTACATGAGACCAAAAGTCTTTGGATCACACATGCTGGGCCAGGGGTATAAGGCCCCCAGTGCCAGGCGACGGGGCTGGAGCCAGGGCCCAGTGGGATAGGAGGATGCTCATATGGGCAGGTCATGCCTTCTATCCCTCCCAATGTGAGTCCAGGAGGCGGAGCTGCTATGGTGGAAGGAGAGGGCTGAGCTGGGAGGTCATGGCTCAGTGGAGTCTTGGCTAGCCCTGCTGTGGGGTGTCTGAGGCCTGGGCCTGTCTGGCCGGCTTTGTGTCTTGTGACTAGAAGTCAGGTGTGCCTGCTTCTAGTCAGGGTGAAGGAAACAGCTCAGTGGATTCTGGTAAAAGCTATCGATACAGAAATGCAGAGAAGGGCTGGGGTTGTGGCTCGAGGTAGAGCACTTGCCTAGCATGCATGACACCAAATAAAAATAAAATAAAGATATCCACTTATAAATAAATATGAGGAAAACAATAAGATATTTACGAGTGCCTATTATATGCCAGGAATCCCGTTAGATTCTGAAGAAGCCAGGTAAAGTCACTTCACTTTCAGGGCCTATCTGATGAGGGAGGAAAGACAGATGAACAAGTACCCGCATCACTAAAATAAAGTGAGGGGGAAGGGCAGTTCCTTAAAAAGTTAAGCTCAGAATTACCATAAGCTCCAGCAATTCTACTGCCAGGTATCTATCCAAAAGAATTTTAAAAAAATTTTAAAGCAGGAATCTGAAGAGATATTTGTATTTCCACATCCATAGGATGATGCATAATAGCCAAAAGGTGGAGGTAACCACGACCCATCAGTGGACAAAGGCAAGACAACACATGCTGAATTCTGTTCACAATGGAACACTTGAAGGAATGCCAGGGACAAGTGCTGCACGCTGCACTAAGTCAAGGAACCAGCTGAAGACACACACCGCAGGGTTCTCCTGCGTAAGGCACCGAGCTTGCCTTCAGACAGGCAGTAGCCGACAGGGCTGGGCTGGGGCTGGACACAGGGCTCAGTCTTGGAAGGGGTAAGAGCTCTGCAGAAGCAGGGGGCTGACGGTGCAAAACAGCAGGCAGTGTGTGCACCACCGAGCAGCACCTGAGCCTCCAGTTCCACACATACCCACATCACCACCATCAAGAGTTAAAGGTGATGGTAATAAAGTGAGGATGAGCGCCACCCACACACTGGTGGTGCTGAAATGATGGGACACGCAGCAAGGGCCTTCCAGGTCTAGCAGCGAGGGGAAGCCTCCCAGCAGAAATCACTCGATGTGGTGCGACACAAAACTACAGCTTCCCATTACAACGGAGGCACTGTTACATATCATCCTTGTTCTCATGGGATGAGCCCTAGTTTCCCTACCAGAGGTCAGCCAAGCAAAGCGCCATGCAGCTGCTCCACTCACCTCCCCAGTAGTGGGAGAACAGCCAAAAACCTGCAAGCCAACTGGTGCCAGCGAGACTCTCAGAAGAGCTGGCCTAGCCGGAGTCTGCAGGCTGCTGCTCTAAATTCTAAATAATTAGCTGAGAAACGATTGTTCAGAATCCTTCTGGGGTCCCAGGCCAGGGTGGATGAAGGGCTGCGTGTTCTTCACCCACAGACACTGTGCATGTTGTGCAGATGCGTCTGCCAGCTCAGGGGATCCACACCAGCACCTGCACACTGAGGACCATGAATGTCCACACGGGCCCAAGCAAAGGCCCCAGGAAGCCAAGCTTGGCTCTTCCTCAGCAATGCCCACCTTGTGCAGCCCTTTGAACTCGTAGCGCCTGTCTCGGAAGGCGCGCACCGTGTCCACGTAGAAGGAGTTCTCCCGCTGGCAGATGGTGGTGAGGCGCTCCTCCACCTTGGTGACATGGAGCTTCTTGTAGGCTTTCCGGCAGTAATCTAAGCATCATGGAGAGTGGTGGGGGCAGGCATGTGAGACTTCCAGACGCGAAAAAGCGAACTGAGACACAGGGATGCCCAGGAGCCCCGTTTTCTACATTAACATGAAGGAACAGAAAACCCACTGGTTTATGAACCACTGGTTTATCACAGCAAAAAAGAACAGGCTCTGGGTACAAAAGAAACCAAGACCACAGAAAAAACACCATGTACAGTGACCTGAGAGCTCTGCTGCCCACAGGCTGCCACATGCTGGCCAGAGCATAGCTAGTGTGCAAAGCTGCAGCCTCCTGGGCACTCACCTGCCAGCCTCCGCTTCTCGTATTTGGCCTGCTCCTCCCGGGACAGCTCGTGAAAGGCCCGCACCGGCCCCTCAGGAAACAAGGGGGGGAACTTTTCTGACTCCAGCTGGTGCTGGATTCGATGGTATTCACTGCGACTGGCTGGCACTGGGAAGAAGACGGGAGGAGTTCCAACAAGACCAGAATGTGGGTCCCGCCCACCATGCTAAGCAACCTCCGGGGCCCACACTCACTGAACTCGCCCCTCCACTGCCAGGCCATCTTCCTCTGGCAGTTTGCTCCAGGCTTGTTGAAGTCACATGCAGCACAGGTGGCCTCGTCTACCATGGCAGAGGGCTGCAGGAGACAGAAAGCATTAAGGTCTGCGGAGACAGCTCTAGTTCTAATGTGGGAATCGAGGGCTCACCTGCAGGCGGTTTGTCAGGATGATATTGGGGTACATGGCCCCCACATCCAGGTGGTAGATAAGGGGACATTCGATTCGGTTGGGAACATCTTTCAGAGAGATGAGCTTGGTCTTTATCTGATCACACACCTGCAGAGAAAGGGAAATGAAGGGATGCTGGTGTCCAAGGTGAAACTGGACAAAAAAGCAGAGTGACCACAACAGACAACACTTAGGGCCCAGATGCTTAAGCACTGATGGAAGGGCAGAGCCAGACACAGAACACCCCACTCTGGACAGCTACCTCTTGAAAGTTGATGGCTTGCTCCACAGGCACCTTCTCCTCTTCCTCAAGGGCATGGCGCATGGTCTTCTCCACCCGCTGCAGCAGGAAGTCAAACGCAGCAGGATTCTAGAGCAAGGAATATGAGAGAACCCGGGTCACAGGGACAATGCACCTTACCTATGCCACAGGTGTGACATGCAACCAAACACAGAGCCCCACTGTGCACCATGCACATGGCAGGAAGTGCGGCAAGAATGCTCCCAAAGCACACCATGTGAGGCCTGCCCTGGCAGAGAGCTGGGCCAGAGGAACCACCGGCAAGAGGGGCCAACTCGGGAGAGCAGGGAGAAGGGACTCCGCTTTAGCTGTGGCTTCCCAGGCAGGAGGCACACCATCTTAAACCGGCAGGGGATGTCACTGCGGAAGACGCCCGACTCCAGTGCCTCCACGTGGCCCCCCACATAGGTCTCAGCATCCAACACGTGGCCATCGTCTGTCAGCTTGTTGAACTCCTGCTCTTGCTTGTTGGGGAAGATGATGTTGGCGTGGAAGGCCTGCACCATCAGCAAGGCCTCACACAGTGTGCCCGAGCCCTTCCGCAGCACCTGCAGGAGATACCATGTCCAGCTGTGTACCCCTAGAGCCTGCCAAAGGCTCTGCAGCCCAGGGAAAGTCCAGGACCCACAGAAAGACCTCAGAAAGTGACTGCCACAGGAAAAAAGAGAAGGCCTCCACGATTATTCCACATGGAGCCCCAGGTGTGGCCTCACACACCAAAATCCTGCTGCTGCCTTCCCCCACAGCCTGGTAAGACCAGCTCATTTGGGAGGCACCAGTGCATTCAGAAGACGTCAGGGAAGTAGAGGGACACTGACCTCATCAGGCTCCATGGGGATAATGGTGCACAGGGCAAATATGAAGGGATGGACATACTTCATGTACAGGTAGTAAGTGGCAACAGCATCCGACACAGAGTATGTGGCCAGAGTCTGTGGAGGGAGCAACAGAGGGCAGGGCCATCACAACTCAAAGGCCAAGGAAAGGTAGCAGGCTTAGCAGGCAAAGCTTAGAACAGTCGCCTCCCAGAGGAAGAGTACCCCACTGGGCCAAATGCAGCCAGCGTAGACAGCCAGCACCATGGCCCGGGGATGTGGCTTCTCTGGTGGGAACAGGGGTGACCTCACAGCTGCAAGGAGAGCTGGGACATGGCTCATGTACCTGGGGCTGCTCGGTGGCCATCCGGCACATGTCCTCAGGATCTAATTCCACAGGGTCGTAGCCAAGCTTAGCCTTGGCGGCTGCCTTCAGGTTATGACTGCCCACGGGAAGGTAGCTGTCCCTTTTTACCCACCTGGGAAGAGGAAAATAGATGCCAAATACAATTCTGTGAACATAAGAGTACATCTAAGCCTGACGCTAAGACCCCACAGTGCAGGCCCCTCAAAACCCTCCACCTGGAGCTAACCTCACAAAATACAAAACAGAAGGCAATGCAGGGCTTCCCTGGGGCCCCTGACCTCACATCCCACCCTCAGCAAAGTACTCAGCCTTTCAATAGAGAAGTGAAAAGGCAAGTTGGCAAGAATCCTCAGGCCACTCCCCAGACCTCCCCTCTGCCACCTCCAGCCTTGTTCTCCAAACCATATGGGGTGTTTCTTCCTTCTCTTACAAGATCCCCAAGCATGAAATAGGACCATCCCTGCCCCACACTGGGAACGCAGCTCCACCTCCTCCCCACCCCCCCGCCAGCCTGCAGGCTCACACCAACACCTTCTCTGGGAACAGCACTGTTTCCACCTCTTGTGGCCTCTGTGCCAGGTGTCGTCCCCTCCCTCCGTGCAAACTCTCTTATTTCTCATCTTGAGTTCATTGACTATCAGGGCTTTTACCAAGACTTACATGCCAGACTCCTAATCCAGGACAAAAGCCCTAACCAACCCTAGGCTCCATGTCACCAAGGTCAACAGTCTCCAGGATTCTCCAGGTGGGAGGGGCTTTCAGACTAGTACAAGGATAACAGCAGAAATACCTTTCATCTGTAATTGCTCTCTGCCCTCATCCCAGGCTTGACTGACAGCAGACTGCCAGGCACCCACCCCCCACTGAGGCCCACATCTGCAGTAGCAGATGGAGCTCTGCCTCTCTTTACCCCTGCCACACTGTGAACCAGCTCCGCCTCCTGGCCTTCCCCCACCCCGAGTGCGGCACCTAACATGAAGCATACACAATGGCTGAGAAGGACACACCTCCCCACCAGCACAGAAGCCACCTCTCTAGCCGACACCTCCTCCAAGCAGACATGCTGGGGGCCAACTGACCCAGCGTTCTCATGCCACCCTGGGCCTGGCTGCTGCACAGCCACACTGAGCCACACTGCCAGCACTTCCTTCTGGTCTGACTTCCCCACAGGCCCACGTTCAGTGTGTTGCTGACTAAATGGAGCATCAGCAATGTCAGACTGCGCGTGCGAGGGCTCCACAGAGCTGCAACAGTGGTGCCCTCAGGTGACCGGTGGCCCTACAGAGGCCACTCTCCTCCAAGTCTGCAGACCTCATCCACCAGGCTGGTGAGAAGCGGCCAGCCGTGCATGGGCTCTACCTGAGGCAGTCCATGTGGATGCACTGTGGTGCCTTGTACTCCCCCTGGCTATCCTTCTGGAAGCCGATCTCCTGGTACATGCTCAGGCCGTGGGCCGCTGCTCTGGCCTCCATGAACGGCCTAGGTACAGGACAGAGGAGCAACAGGAAGAGGTGAGTCTCTAGTCCTCCTTCCTCCGTTTCTCCTCAGGCACAGGGAAGATTGCTCCCAGGAGACTCCAGAGTAAACCAGGAACTCTTCACAGAAGTTCTTCTCCATCAGGCCGAGTTCCTACTACTCTCTCCTCCTCCCCAACACTTATCAGTTACCCATAAATGGGACGTTAGGCTCACCAGTCAAAAAAGTCCCCGTTGTAAGTGACCATGATGGTGGGTTTAGTCTCCTGGATATGCTCAAACCATCGCTGGATCAGATGGACCTGAGTTCGACAAAGCAGAGAGGTCAGAGCACTGCTTTTATCTGCTTCCATTAACTTCCAAACACCTCCCCACAGTCCAGCACTGGGCCCACACCACCCCAGTCTTGACCATGGATAAGGACTGGCCCTGAAAAGGAAGCTGGCATCCCCGCCCTGATTCCAGGAATGCCCGAGGCTTCATAAGGATCAGCACAAAGATTCATGTCTTATCCCCAAATACAGGGCAGTCTCCTCCATGTGAGGGCTCTTTACCTCATCAGGTTCATTGAAGACACAGAAGGGCCCTTCATATTCTGGTTTGGGGGTGAACTCAAAATCTTCAATATCTTCAGAAACGATCTCCCTGTTGGTGATGAGGTAGCCCTGGCCAAGTTCACAGCAGGCAGCAGGAGTCAGAGACAGCAAGGCTAAGACATCTCCAGCACTGCCCGCAGCCTCATCACGCGGGCTCCACAGCAAGCTCCCAAGAAGAGAGCCACGTACCCAGGTCTCCACCAGGAGGGAGGGCTGTGCACATCTCTGGACTCTACCCCCTCACTCACTCAGCAACTCCCAACCGCAGGTGATCACACACAGTCCCGCCAGGGAGCTTACCTCCCAAAAGCCATCTGCTCACCTGGCCATCAATCATGTAAGAAATCATCATAATCTGGTCTGTTTCAGCATCAGGAAATTTGAGGGGCAGTTTGGTGGTCTCAATGTCAAATGCCAACACCACAGGGTCCTGGAGGGAGAAAATGCAGCATGAAGTCAGCAACAAAGTCAGACAAGATCTGGACATCCACCACCAGCCTGCTCCACCTCTGCTTGCTCCAGGAAAGAGCTAAAGGCTGCTAGAGAGCCAAGAGGCTCACCACGGTGCGCAGCTGAAGTACACAGGTAAGGCTGGAGCTGCGGTGAGGTTGGTACACACTACCCAAGCTCCATGCTCTTTAAAACCACTGCCCCAACGTGACCTTCAGGGCAACCCTGCCGAGCGACCATGGCAAGGCTGACCTCTTCTTTTTGGATTTGAGAAAACTGAACACTAAGACTTCCCCAAACCAGCAAGCGAGGCCTGAACCAAAGTCTTCCTGTCATAACCCATTTGTCCTCAGTGACTTCACTGTTAGCTACCCAGAATCACCGTCTTCCCCCTGAGGTCCAAACCCAGTCTAGCTCTACATCCATGCCAGACCATGAAGTTATACTCTCCGGTCAGACGCTGATAGGAAGAATTCTCACTCCATGATACTGTTTAGAAAACATTTGAGGAAAAAGCAAGCAAACCTATGAATCAAATTCACCTTTTAGCACTGAATCTATCCCTTCAGAAAACAAGGTGAAGTTTCAGGTCTGAGGAAATCCAAGCAGTACTTACAGGTCGCTCAACAAGGTCATCCCGGCGGGTAATGTCCACTGGAAAAGCATTTCCCCGATATCTGATGTTGTACCAATGAGCCTGCAGAGTGCACAGGGAATTCATGGGGCCCTGCATCCTGAGAAGTCTACCTCTCCACAGACTTATCCCTAACACCAGGAGGAACCTCACTCAAGAAGCAGCCTGCCAGACTCTCACCACATGGATCTTAAGGTCGATGGAGAGGCGGATGTGGTAGGGGACGTCATACTCGCGCATGTCCACTATGTTATCCAGCTGGTCAGCTACTTTCTTAGAGGTTTCCTCTTCATCAGTAATTACACTACCCCCTTGCAGAACGCTAGGAAATAAGCAGAGAGAGCCACTAACTCAATTACACCCTGATAGGGGCTGGAGGAGGTGAAGACCAGAGTCCACACCTAGCTAGCACAAAGGGTAAACTGAGATGATTGCAATGACTAGAGAAGTCCCTTGAGCAGTAGCCTTGGGAATCAACTTCCTGTGCAACTGGCCATATGAAAAATTCAGTTCAGTACACACTTGAGGTGTGTGCATTTTACATAAGCTACATTCAAGTGCTACAGATCAGGAGAGCACCCAAGTTTGGCCAGACCCTACCACGTCCTCTCTGCTACTGTGGAGGTTGCACCACGCAGGGCTGAGATCAGACCCCGAATTCACAGACCTACATATGGTCTCCACTGTGTAGATAGACGTGGCCCACCCTTACAGAGGGGTTGCTTCCTCATTGTGAAAATGAGGAAGACTACAACCAGCCCACCCCACAGGGGAGTGGTAAGTACCACATGAGGTAATAATTGTGCAGCCCTTGGCTCATTACACAGTAACGTGATAGTAAATGTTAACTTTGTTTGACAGCTGATCTTCTATCCAAGCCAGAGATCTGACACTAGAACGTTTGCTTAACTATTAGCCCACTAAGCTCAAATACTGAATGGACTAATAAGAGAAAAAATGAACCTCAGAGGCTGGGTGCCATGGCGCATGACTGTAATCCCAGCGACTTGGGAGGCTGAGGCAGGAGGACCACAGGCTCAAGGCCAGCCTCGGCAACTTAGTGAAACCCTATCTCAAAATAAATACCAAAAGGGGCTGGGGATGTAGTTCTCTGACAAAGCATCCTGGGGTTCAATACCCAGTACAAAAAAAAAAAAAAGCATCTGAGAGATGGCTGAGGCCTCTAATTACACTTGCAATATTCTGAAAAGTAATTTGTGGCATCACTGGGAAGGGGAGGTGAGGGGATGGACTGCAGAAGTGTTCAGAGGGCCAAACTGAATTTTATCAGAGGGTACAATCAGTTCTAAAGACACCTAAACTTAACTACCCAATGTATTCTCTCCTTAAACTCTTACTTCCTTGTTGACATCTAAACATACGATGAACAGCATTTGGTATTCTTTAGTTAAAATCTCTGTGTAAAACCTAAGGATCTCTGGGGAAGACATGCTCTACAAATCTCAGCACTCAATACAAGCTATGGATGGGCTGTGTCAAGGTGCTAGATGAGGGGCCTCTCCAAATGTCCAGTGTTAAAGCAACTCAACTGTAGAGCCACAAGCCCACCCCTCTTATAAGAACAGAGAGCCATACCTGGGTGCAGCTGCACATGCCTGTGCTCCCAGGTACTCAGGAGGTTGGGGAAGGAGGATCACAAATATGAGGCCAGCTTGGGCAACTTAGCAAGACCTCGACTCAAATAAAAAGCAAAAAGGGTTGGAAATGCAGTTCAGAGCACTAGAACATGAGGTCCCTGGGTTCTATACCCAGCATTAACAGTGGGGGGGAGACAGCTAAGATGTAAAAAAATGACATGGGAAGCTGTGGCTTGTTTAACTAAAACAGAGCGCCTCTCAGTGCTCAAGAGTTTCTACATTGAGCAGAGCTTGGCAGTGAGGTGACTACTGAGAAATCCCCATCTTGGTCCATCTTGTCACCCTGGACCTGCTGGTGCTCTCCAGGTAAACTTCCTCTTGTTTACCTGGAGAGCATGGCTGTGTATGCATCACTGGCACGGTCCTGCTCCCGATTCTTCTTCACAGCAGGGGAGATTTCTTTCCTCACTTTGACAAGGTCCTCCACAGTGTGGAAGGACAGCTTGATGTAATTTCGCTTCAAACCCACCAAGTGATTTGGCTATAAAGTGAAGAGACCACCTTGTGAGTTCAAGAGAAACAAGACATCATTGCTGAGTGGATGGGGGTAAAGCAGCACAGATGCACACACGAATCAGACTGGGTGCAAAGCACCCGTCCCCGCCGTGGGGTACCAGCCTCCTGGAGAGCATTCGGAACAGCCCCATCCTCCATCCTCTGCCCTACACAAAACCCAATGACGACCTGCCTTTCTACTTTTTCAGTCTTGCCTGATACTGACTGGACCCAGCCTCTCTGTCCCTGGAAGGGTCTGGGTGGTACTCACCAAGTCCAGGTCCTCTTTGGGGACAGTCTCTACTTTTGCAATTTTACCCTGAAACTTCTTGGAGAGAAAAGATGAAACTTCTCGTTCACAGCCCTAAATCAGGATCCGAATGAAAGGACTTTCCATCAGTAAGGTCTGTTTCTTCCTTATCTGTTTCCCAGCTCTGAAGCCAACCACAGGAAGGCGCATTGTCTGACCTGACTCCAAGAACAGACTTACCTTTCTGGTTGCAATGTAGAAATACGGCTTATAAGGTAAGGCCACCTGCAGGAGTCACCAATCCACCCAAAGGCAATGAGCAAGAAAAAAGGGAGACAAAGTGAAGCAACCTGAATTCAAGGCATCAGAACTTTGACAACCCTTAGGAGGGAGAGCATATAGGAAATTCAGATCTGCATGTGTCTCAAGGGCAAGAACCTAAGAAATACAACACTGTCACTTCCTGAGCTAACTTCTCCCTGGACATCTTAATTGTGACTGAAGTGGCTCCCAGTGACCATGTTCCTGACAGGCTGTAGGCAGCTGCACCCTAGAAGCCTCCCATTCCTTCCCCAATAGCTGCAGCACTAAATAAACACTGTCATTTTGGACAACGGCTCCTCACAGGTGGGTTTTGGTTTCTTGGGGACAGAAGCTTACCTTAAATCTGCTTCCATCATCTTGAATAAAGTAGTAATCCACTGCACTGACTAAGCGTCTATCTTCATCTAAGACCTCAGTCTGCAAAAGAACCAGGTCAACATGGGCAGATTATCCTCTGCACAGCCTAAAGCCCTTCTGGGAAAGCAGAACAAATCATCATACCCGGCTCTTTATTCTACCCTGCAAAACCACCACCAAGCTGGTTCATAAGCACTGCATCATAGCAGCTCCCAAATGGGGATCTCTCTGAGTCTCTTCTTCATTGTTCTTAAAAGCTTCATTCCCATGGCAGACAGGGTGCCCCTGCTTTATTCTTCTCAGGGGCCTCTCAAAGCCCGTGATGATGTTGGGAGCAGAGAAGGCGGGCCAGGAACCAGTTCTCCCGCCTGTGTCAGACACAACAGACAGGCCCCCAGAGCTGCCCACTCTTTGGGCAAGGGTCACACTACATGAAAAGATGCAGCCACCCGCCTGGGGAGGACAGGCTGAGGAAAATACAGGTGCTCACAGGGTGCATGTTGATGAGCCAGCCGGTCTTCTCACCAGGCTCCTTCAACCTCTCAAAACCAAATCGCAAGTCCATCTTATCTGTCCACTGGCTCCGCTCCAGGCGCTTAAGCGCAGAGACTGAGGAAGTGGGGCCATCATCGCTGAATGAAAGAAGAGAATCCAGGTCTCACCACTTATGACACTACCCACCCCACAATCCTCAACCCACTGAGCTAAGTGCTTCTGATTGGCACAGTATGTGCCAAGACTGCTCGAAAGGCTCACCAAGGGAGAAGCAGGACAACAGCAGGCTCCTCTAAACCTGTCTGACTTTGGAAAGAGAACACTAATCAAAACAGCAATCACAGCTGGATGCTCTATCTTATGTGATACTATAAACACATAAAAACCAGCACTGTATTCCTTATCCAAGAGAAATGAAAACCAATGTTCATACAAAAACAGTGTATGTGAATGTCCACATAATAGCCAAAACCGACAAATGACCCAGATATTCCTCCACAGGCAAGTTGTCAACTGTGGTTTATCCATATACGAATACACTCAGCAACAAATGGATTCGCACAATTTGGATGGATTGCAAGAGAATTATACTGCATGATTAAAAGCCAAACCCCCAATCACAAATGTCACTATTCCACTTATATAGGACTTTTGAAATAAAATTATAGGAATGGAAAGCAGATTAACAACCAACAAGCATGGGAGAATGGCTACAGTCATAAAAGGCAGCATGTAGAACTCTCCCGCACTGCTCCATGCTTGATCTGGGTGGTGGCCACATGGATATCCTATGACAAAACTGCATAAAACCAAGTGCACACACATACATCAGAGTGCATGTGAGGCTGAGGGGATGGGATCAGTGTTGATTCCCAGATACGACACAAAACTCCTCATGTACAACAGTACCAGTGGAGAAATCTGGTTTTTATTATTTCTGATTGTATCTCAACATTAAAAGGTGTTTCTTTTTAAATATGCAAAAATGAGAGTAGAGATGCTGGCTTATGACTACTGAGATGAAAAAGATGCAGTGGACTCTAAGTACAGGAGAAAAGAGCAGTCCACCACTCGCTGAGAATCAAGCAAGGACCAGGATGAGACTCTGCACAGGGAGCCCAGGTGCTCATATTAAGTCTCTTAAAGCAGAGCCAACAGGGCACATATATGTAAAAGACTCCAGCTAAGAGCTTTTCCCTTTCCTATGAAAGATTATAATTCTGCTCTTTTGTTGCAATTCCTCTTGTCTAGGAAAAATTCCAGATTAACCATCTCTGAATTTTACTGATACCCTCCAACCATTTGCCAATTGATATGAACTAGGGTCACAAAAATACCTGCTGTGGCAAAATAAACTATACCTTAAAAAGGTATCATATCCTGTAAGGCACCTGACTCTAGAGGTCAGCAGTTAAATGTTGATAAAATGAGGATTTATTTTTCTGTGGGAGAGAAATGGTCTCCACTAACAAGGAAACTAATTTCTCCGCTCTATAGTAACAATGTATCAGCTTCAAACTTCCCACACCTTTCTCTGGTTCAGATCTTGTAATAAGTCTTAAGTCTTCATATAGACTTTATCATAAATCTTAAATACAGTACCTAATGAAGATTTTCAACCACCAGAACTATCAAACCCATTCTGATTCCAGAGCTGTTCCTGTCCCCAAATGTTCACAGTCTTTAGCTTCACAGAGTGATGACACCTGGATGAACCAGTACAATTTCAGTTTACCAATCTTTGAAATATAGCAATCCTTATGTTTATTAGCATTCTAACTTTCAAAAAAGCTAGTTTCACTGACACAGTGGTTCAGGAGGATAGAGCAAGAGAATCACAAATTCAAGGCCAGCTTCAGCAACATAGTGAGACCCAACCTCAAAAATAAATAAATAGGGCTGGGGATATAGCTTGGTGGTACAGTGTCTCCGGGTTCAATTTCCAGTATGTACACACATACAAAAAGCTAGTTTCCTCTGGGTAACACAGTTCTAAGACTCTGAAGCCTTTATAATTTTGACCAGAGGCCTATTTATTTCCTAATCTAAGCATGTTCTCCATTCTTCAAAGACAGAAGCAAAGGACCCAACACCCTGTTTCTTTTTAATGTGAATCAGCACTTTAAAAAGCAGTGAGGAGGGGCTGGGGATGTGGCTCAAGCGGTAGCACGCATGCCTGGCATGTGTGCGGCCCGGGTTCGATCCTCAGCACCACATACAAGCCTAAGCCCACACATAATTCATGCCCTTAATTATAACACCAGTTGTTAGCTTACAAACCAGTGGATATACAACTGTTTCTTCAGAACAAGCCTTCTTTTGTGTGAAGGTTATTACTTGGGTCACCTACATTTGAGAAAAGAATGACTACATTACAAGACTAAAAGCCTTACTTTTTTGTAAAGAATGATAACCACCATGGTAAGCAGATTAATGGCCCCATATGTCCTAATCCCCCAAATTTGTGTCTGCTACAGGAGGAAAGGGACTTTGCAGATATAGTTAAGGATCTGCAGGTAAGGATTACTCAGGTAATCACAAGGGTCCAGGGAGAGGGAACTAGAGAGAAACGGGAGATGGGACAATGCTGACTTTGAAGATTCAGGTAGCTAAGGCAGCCTCTGGAAACTGTGTAACAGGCAAGGAAACAGAATAGCTCCCAGAGCCTCCAGGTCTCCCAGCCTCTAGAATGATAAGACAACAAGTTCATACTGCTTCAGTCGGTGAGTGTAGGAGTGAGTGATACTCTGTTACGTCAGCGACAGGAAACAGCCCCATTCTACCCGTTGACTTTATCTCTACAACATCTGGATTCACCTTTAATCAAGAACACAGAAAAACTACCCGAGGCCTTGCTAGACAGCTTCAGGCTGAGGCCCAGATCTTTATCAAAACAAAGGCCGAGTGAAGCCTGCTCGTGGAGTGGTGGGGCTGGAAAGCTGCTCGCTCAGCTCGACCTTCTCTGGAACCCTTTCTCTAAACTGCGCGTGTCCCTTTTTATCCAGTCACAGGACAAAACCTGGAAAACGGGGGACCGTCACAAGGCAGCAAGTGCGATATTCGCTCGGCATCACTGACACTGTCATTCAGTTTTCACGGTGAGCCTTAGAAGAGGACCGTCTGTATGTTAAAAGGTTACTCCCTATACATCCACATTGCACAGAAGGGGCGAGGCGTCCTCTGACAGCCCTCGACCGGTGGGAACCCGCTCACCCAACAGCTCGGAGCAGCCAGGGCTCTGCGGAAATTGGAGGCGACCTTGGGGCTTTGTACAAAGGCTGGACGGCCTCCGCCTGTGTCGGCGGTGAACACAGCACCAAGCGCGCGTCGGAGCGGGGACGGCTGGCGGCAGGAAGAGCACTCCAGGGCCGGGACGCGGCTGGGCGCTGGCGCGCTGCACCCGTGAACCCAGGCGAACGCCGCTCCGCCCGAACCCGGGAAGGCGCGGGCGGCAAGCACCTCTGGGGCTCTCCACCCGCGAGCTGCCGCTCTGGTCCCGCGCCCGCCTGGGGCCCGCGGCCTCCCCAGCCACGCCCCCGCCCGCTCAGCCGCCGCTCCCGCGGGCGCCCCGGGAGCAGGACCCTGGCCCTCACCGGCTGGCCTCGCCGTCCGCGCCCGGCTCCGCGCGCCGCAGCCCGCTGTTCCTCAGAACCATCACAACGCTCGCGGAACTCCTCAGCCTCCGGGACGAATTTGGCGCGTTCCCACCGGCTCTCGCGAGATACAGGAAGCACCGGCCGTCCAATCAGACGCCTCGCCTGAAGGGCGGCGCTCCAATCGGCGACCGTTCCGTCGGAGCCGAGGCTCGCGCGTGCGCAGGCGCGCTGCCTTGGGGAAGGGATCCGGAGGCGGGCGGCTGACGTCCGCGCAGAGGCCCCGCCCTGCTCCGCCCTGAGGGGCTCCAATCCGCAACGGCGCCTGGGGGGACGGTGCACTGCCAGGGACCGCGGAAAAGTGTGCGGAGGTGCGCGCTGCGCACAGCAGTGTGGGTGCCGGGCCGCGCTGCGGGTCGCGGTGAGTCGGGAAATGTCAGGCTGTCCCCGCCCCGCCTCCTCGACCCCGGGCCCCAGGTCCAGCGCCCGACTGCCCTGCGGTCGGGTCGGCCGGGGCTGCGCGCAGCGGGGACGGTGATGGCGCCTGCGGCGTCCAGGCTGCGGTCCGAGGCCGCGCTCGGGTCGCTCCCTCGGCGCGCGCTCACCCAGTACCTGCTGCTGCTGCGGCTCTACCCGGTGCTCACCAAGGCGGCCAGCAGGTGGGCGTGCTGCAGGAGGGGTCGTCGGAGAGGGGAGAGAGGGGCTGCAGGGCAAGAGAGGCAGGCAGAGGGGAGGAGAAGGGGGCGCAGGGGAAAGGAAGTTGGCGGAAGGGAGGGCCACTCCGCAGCACAGAGCTGCGCTGACCATTCTGCAGCCCGTGGGCGCCCAGGGCAAAAGCCGCAGGCGTCAAGGTGACCCCACTGCCCTGTTTGAGCAGAAGCAAGGGGCGGCCTGCAGGTTGGGTCCTGAGCGAGGTCGTCGCCCCTCCAGGTGTAGACCAGAGCCTTCTGGAGGGACCTCCCCATCAAAAGACTGTTGCCAGCACGACAGAGCTGGCAAGCTCTGCCCTTTCTTTGAGTATTCAAGTTTTTATGAGTCAGTCCTTCTTTCTTGGGTTTACTAATTTTGTAGGGTTGTTCTCTTTGTTTTATTAATTCAGCCTTTCATAAATGCATAGCGTGCTTCGTGTGTGCTGGGCAAAAAGTTGCGTTCAAAACAGGTGCAGAAGTTCCCCCTCTCCCAGAACTACAAAGAACTAGAGAAACAGCAGATAAATACATGACCTAGAACGGTCAGGGAAGTTTTTCCTGCAGAAGTAACATTGAACGGGCTGCAGAGACATGAAGCAATAGCTCTGGGGGCAGAGGGCACACCAGGAGGAAGGTGCTGGGGGTGGTGCAGGTGCAGGTTGCAGTGGGAAGGTAGATAGGTGAGAAAAGAGGGGAGCCTGAGGGCTGCGCAGCAGATCAGTGGTAGAGCACCTCTGGTTCTTTCCCCAGTACTGGGGTAGGGGTGTCTGTAAGTCCACACTAAGAATTTTGGATTTGTGCGT